CTTAGAATGAATGCAGTTATTTGAGATGTGGTGCAGTTTTGAGTCATTTGAGCCATATTAGACTAGGGATGTACTCACTTCTCTTGTGTACTGCAGGAAGGGGAAAATATAAAAGATCAAAAGGCGAGTGAACGTGACATTTGGCTTTCTAAAGTCAAAGCGAAAGCACAAAAGTTAATTAAACAGCCCCAAAAAATTTACTTGGTGACATTTCAGTTACTGATGAGTGGAAACACTATTTGCATGAAGGAACAGAACCCCACCTCGAGCGAACCGTCTCAGGGGAACATTTGTGTCAGTCTCGTCTTTTGTCTTTTTGTCTGCGCATCAGTGCACAAGCATATACACAAAAAAAATACTGCATTAAATCTTGGAAGCAGAAGCCAATAAGATAACCTCACGACGCGATCTGGGAGCTTTTGAACATATGACAACCTTAAAGTAAACTAGAAATTTAAACATCTGGGTTCCCACGCTGGCTGTTGCTGCTGTTTGACCTAGTTGGTTTTTAAATAGTTCAGATCGAAAGCTGCAGAACAACCTCATAATGAATTGGTGTGAGTGCTTAATACTACTGCTGTTGCTTTAAACGGAAGCAAAATTGGCCTAAACAACAGATGTGGCTTTGAGTGAAATAAATTAATGTAGGTCTACATGAGGTTGGCGTCAGACGGCTGTAGACAACAAAACTGAGCGCACTCCGGTCCAGCATCAGTAAATGATTCAAAACGGTATCATTTCACAACAACTGCATTATTTCTTATTATTTTAATTCAGAATTTAAGGTGTTTTATTGCATGTAAGTGCAAAACAAAAAGATCAGACCGCCTAAATTTAATATACAGACCCCAAAGTGCAGCTTCAGTGCAACTAAACTAGGTCGACCCTTCATTAGTGAGAGTTCCTTCCTTTATTTTAGTTTTAATTTTCTATTTCTGCTTTTTATTTTTGAAATGTGATCCTCTTGTGAAAAAAAAGAGACCAGCTTTGCACAAATACGTCTTTACAGATGATTTTTTTTAGACGCTGCTTTGTTTAAGGACAGAATCAGCACGAGAGCTAGAGTTAGTTAATCGCCAACTATTATGATTTCTTTTTTCTTTTCTTTCTTTCTTTTTTTTGTTTTTATAGAGAACAGAATTCCGGCTTCTTAGATTTCTGTTCCCTTCCTTCTCTATGACAGTAATTTAAATATCTTTGGGTCGTGGACAAAAGCGGGTTTGGGAAACACTGTTCATCACCATCTTCTGACATTTTAAAGCCCAAACAACTCAGCCATCGAGAAAATAAATTGACAATGAAAATAATCGTTTGCTGCAGCCCGAGTTCTTCAAAAACGTGTTGCACTCAGGTCGCTGTCATGTGAAGAAATCAGTCTCCTGCTAAACGTTAAACTGCTAAAAGTTATCGTCTTTTCAGTCATTATTTGCCCCAACCAACCTGCACTCAGTTTCATTGGTGGTCCAAGCCACGCAAAACACGTCAAACCTTATTAGACGCAAAAACTGTTTTGTCCCATTTTGAGACCAGCATTTGTATTTTTTTGACTTGTGAGTGTCACTGATGCCGACCAGTTCATCTTGGTAACGAGTCAAAACGTGTGTTCTTCAATGTGACGACGTGTAAATTGCAACTTGTGTGGTTCCATCTTTCTAGAACGGCCGCTGTATGTTCTGTTTTTGGTCGCACGGCTCTTCCTCGTCACTGCGTATGTTCAGTAATGACCCTCTTATAACCTCTCCCGTATTCATGAAGTCTCACAGTCTGGTTTGTCACTTGTTTAGGGCACTAAGAACAAGCTTTTACAACCTTTATCGGAAATCACTTGCATCACTTTCTGGTGCACGGAGGTCGGGTTCAGTTAAACCTGTTTTTGTTTGAAATTACAATTACAGTCAATTACAGTCAATTCCTGCGTGAAAGAGAATCACTGCATGATAAGAACTGAGAAAACAAAGAACATCCAGATAATTTACACCAGTTTTAGTAACTAGAGTTTCATTTACTCAGGCGTAATAGTCACTTTAGTTTGCCAGACGGTCAAAATTAACAGTAAACTGCTCAGATTTCTGTCACATCTTTGCTTTTCCCCGTGCGTGGACCGATCTTGCTGACTGTATGGTGTAGTCACACCACAAACGCCCATTCTGAACCAGGAACAACCCTGTCGTGTACTGTATATGTCGACGACACCGTCTTTGGCTGTGAATAAAAGCCATTCGAGTTCTTCCTTTTTAGAATAATCAGTGTGACTTAAGAAGAAAAATATGACAATTTGGAGAACAAAACAAGCAACATGAGGTGGGCACTCCATGGAGCTAATGAGTAAGAGTGAAAAAACACTTTTTGAACCTTTTTTTTTTCATACATTTTTTCCCTGTTTTGCATTTGAAATCTCTAATTGTTTCCATCCAGCTCCCACATGAACGAAAAACACCTTCCAGCTACGGAAGAGTTTAACCGAAAGTAACGTTTCTAGTTCTGGAAACAGACGATTACTGTATTTTTTTTGTCCGTTTTTGAGTTCAACGGGCATGTCTGGTAAAAGTTTACACACTTTTGAAGACTGGTTGTGCCGTTTTTTGCAATATTCTTGAGGCAGAATGGCACAATTGACCCACTTTGATTAGAGCTTTTCACAGAACTGTGTCGATTGTTGTGTTTGGGATCTAACTGATTGAAACTCTGTCCTTCTCACTTTTTATTGTAAATCTACGTGCACTCTGGAGTTCATGGCCTTGACATAAACCAAGGCCTCCACCCTTGACCAGAGTCTTTAGATTGTGGTCACAAAAAGCTGACTTTCCAGGAAAGAAATGCAGACACTGCATAAATACTGAGGCAGCGAAATGTATAAAAGTGTGAACCTACTGTCAGCGCTGAAGGTGAGGAGCAGCACCGCCCAGATGGTCGCGTGCAGGACGGTCCGGCACTGATTTGTCCTCATGATGCGAACAATCCTCTTCCAGTCGCAGGCAGCCCAAGTGAGAAACGTTCCAACAAGCACATCATTATTTGGTGTAACGAAATAGAGAAACGCCAAGATCAGAGCTGCTCGACAACATGCTGCTTCCTCTTTCTACTCTCTGCTCGCTGCCTTCCTTAAAGCAGGGGCGGCGGTGGAGGTGAGTGTAAGTCGGTGGGTGGTCTTGCTTCTGCAAATCGTGCACATCCAATTCAGTGTAACTTCTCAAAACAGAGGGGGGTTCCCACATGACCCTGCTGCTGCTCAGACCTCCTGCTGTACTATGATCGCTCACACCCTCTCTCAGTGTTGTGTGTGTGTGTGTGTGTCTTTTTTTGTTCTCACTCTTCTTCATCACTTCTTGGCAGCGTCTGTGGTTCGCCTTCTACAAGCTGACTTCCTCTCCCCTCTCCATTCCTTTAATCTCCGCCGGCTGCGTCTCCTGCAAGCGTGTGCAGAGCGCAGCGGTTTTCAGAGGAGGATACGCAGCACTGAGGCGGAGACGGCGGCCTCTCGAGCTGCAGTGCCCACTGTGTTGATGTGTGTGTGTGGTTGGTTGATATCAGTCAGCGCTATCAGCTTGTGGACTGTCATTCAGGTTTTTACAGGAGGCCTCCAACAGTTTCCTAAGGGTTTCTCTGGGTATTAGGAGCTGTACTCCGGCTTCCATTTGAACTAGTAGTAAATCTCCCCCAACTTTTGTCCCCTAACATCTGGAAAAAAGCCTCCAAAAGTTACTGGATTCAAATCGTACCTGATTAATTAGTTTCCTAAACATTTAGCTCACTTCATTGTCCCACCTTTACTACCCTTCACTTGCAACTTGTAAGTTTTAGAGTTGATTTTAAGGATTGTGTTGCTAGTTTTTAAGGTTTTGAGTGGTCTGCTTACATCTTCTAAGTCCCTACAAGATCCTCTGGCAAGGCCTCAATTACAATATTAATCTTGTCATCAGGTGACCTGGTAGGAGGATCTCAGGCAGGAAAATTTTCATATCATCTTATAAATCTCTTCTCCTTTTTATCAACACTGGTGTTCCTCAGGGCTGTGTCCTGAGTCCACTCCTTTACACATTGTACACCCATGACTGTGTTGCCACACACAGCTCCAACCCCCTTATCAAATTTGCGGACGACACAACCATCGTGGGGTTGATCAGAAAACAACAACGAGGCCCCATACAGGGAGGAGGTCCGAGCACTAGCGGCCTCGTGCAGCGGCAACCGCCTCAACCTCAACACCACGAGGACAAAAGAGGTCGTGTTTGACTTCCGGAAGTCGAGGACCACATTGCACTCTGGCCTGAGCATCAATGGGGAAGAAGTGGAGTGGGTCACGAACTTTACATTTCTCGGACTGCGCATCTCAGAGGATCTGGGCTGGACGGTGAACACCACATTTAAATCATTGTATCTTGTCCCACTACAAACAAACAAACAAAAACTTAATAATAGTTTTAAAAAAACAAAAGAAGAAGTAATGTTCTAGCAGCTGGAATGTCAAAAAAAATGACCATATTGTAAAAATATCATAATTCACTGTAATTAAATACATTTTCGTGCCTTAATTTCTTGAGCTCATGAGTATTTTGGGGATTTTAAATGTTTAATGAATAATATTTACATGTGTGGAACAATGAAATTACCTGTGATTTATATATATATCTTTATAAATATATGTCATATAATACACATATAAAAGCAAACAAATCCATGCATAATTACAGAACAATACACATTTTTCTGTTGATTGTAATTGTGTCTGATATCACAAATATATTTACAGTATTAAACTTGAATTTAAGTTGAATCTATTAAATATTAAAGAAATATTTGTGAGATCATGAGGAATTTGTGAGTGACTTTTATGTGTCCCAAATTTTCATTTTTTTTTAAAAAAATGCAATTTTAATTTCACTTTACATTAGTATGTAAATTACATTATGTAAATTCACGGTTATTTTTGTAATTTTGTTGATATTTGTATGTATTTCAAAAATATGAAAAGAAGAAATGAATAAAAAGGAAAAAAATCTATACAATTTTACTCTTTTTTTTAAAACAGCATACATCTTACTGAATGGTTCTTATTACTTATTTTTTATGTAACGCATTTTATTACTTAAGGTGCCATAAAGAAAATGTTTATTATTTTTACAAGTAAAATTACAAGTCAAAACAGACGAATAGTGGGGATATCTCAAGGCTATTCGAGAAATGAGCAAAGTGTCTTTAAATGGAAGAAACTGATTGTTTTGAGCTATTCTTTCTGAAACAACAGCGCAGCTCAGCGGCGGCAAGCCTCGCTGCGAGTCATCCTGTGGTTACTACTGCGCAAGCGCCTTCCCCTTTACGTAATGACGTAAAGGAAACGTTTCCGACGGGCCGAAAATGGCGGAGTACCTGGCATCCATTTTCGGCACAGAGAAAGACAAGTAAGTTTTATTCAATATTTGTCGTTAATGGCGCCTAAGCGATGATTTTTATACAAAGTATGTTAGCAGGGCAGCTTATTACTCGCACTCGGGGCTCCGTTTGTAGCAGCAGCTCTGCTAAATGCCCCAGTCAAGCTTACATTAGCAACAGGAAGCTAACGGGCAGCTAACGCATTGAATGAAACTTAAGGGCTAACCTGCAGCTACTGTGAGCTGTTGGTTTGCGCCAAAAATGATTTTCTAGTAAAAGCTTCATTAGTTTTCTTTTTACACACTTAAGCATTACATGCATGCATTACTGGGTATGAAACACTCAGATATTGTGAAGCCTTTTCAGCTTACAAGCTTGTTAGCACAGTAGCTACTTTGCTCGGGCGGGTTGTTGTGTTCGTTTCACTTTGTGGCCAATATAATGATAGTAGTTCATAAAGCACTAGTCTTATTGCACTTTTATTAATATAAAGTGACAGTTATTTGGAGCAAGGCTGCTGGTGCAGTTTATACAAGGAGAGGTCTCCAGGATGGCATTGCTTCAAAACAACAAAAACAGTGGTTCTGATTGCAAAGCAGAGCCATGTAAACATCATCTCACTCATTTAAACTGGAGGAAATAAAAATGTACAACCCATATTTTAAACCGAGAATAGGATATAATACAATGTGTAAGCGTGGTAATTTAACTTACAAACAATGTTTAATTTAATATCGTGCTGAGTCTTGGAGATGCACGATTTTATCATCCTAGATTAATCGGGGTGACTTTTAAAAAGGGATTACATCTACAGAAAAAAAATAATGTTTATATGTATTTTAAATGCCAGCAAAATAGTGACAAAGGCATCTAATGGGTGGCATTTAGATCTGGCATTGCACTCATTAGACACAGCTTTGTGGTGCTGATTTAAATGATCAAACTAATTAGCTGCAAGAGAGTTCGAGTTTTAGGTCAACCTCATTCTTTCTGTAGCTGTAAAATTTTCCATAGGTTACTTTTTGCAACTTAATCATCCTTTTCACCGTTTCTCTACTGTTCCTTATACATTTTCCTGTGAAAATGTAGAGCCTGCATATAAAAAAACACAACCTCTGTGTCCTAAAAGTAAAGTTTTTTTGCAATAAAGTTGATGTTGGTGCTTTTTTTTGCGTCGACACAAACAAATACAATGTCAGTAGAACTGTTGCAACAAAGGCAGATCATGAGTACATGTGGTGACGATATTCCTCCTTTTTCCAGGGTCAATTGTTCCTTCTATTTTAAAATCGGCGCTTGCAGACATGGAGACCGCTGCTCGAGATTGCACAACAAGCCAACCTTCAGCCAGGTCAGTATCCCAGAACAGTGCTAAATTGACATTGAATCACCAATTGGTGACCCGCTGTGCCTCCTGAGCTGCAGGCAGGCCAAATGTTTTATCCTGTGACCTATTTGTTTGTCTTTGGACCTCAGAGCTAAAAGAAAGAACGAGAAACCTCTTCAAAAGTTTATTTTCCTTTCAAGTATTAACTTATGTTAAGGATGAGTAAACACAGTGTTCCCAGATCCACCTAATTAGTTTTTGGTTAATGAGTCTTTAATCACTTATGGTGGAAAATCAGGCTCTTTTTTTTTAATGTGTTTTTGTACTCCAGCAGTATTTTACATAGTGTGTTTTGCAGTTATAAACATATACATTATTACACTTTATTGTTTTACAATTATATTATACTTCCTATACAGCCTGCTTTTCTTTTCTGTGTCAAAATTGTCGCATTCCTTTCTTCCTGCGCCTGCACTATTGTTAGGAGATGTAAACAAGCTGAACTAGAACCTGATGTCACCAGAAATAGCACCGAACTAGACTGTTATTTAACATCCCAGTCTGGCCTGATACCTTTTTTGTGTGTGTGTTTTCTCTCCAGACCATCTTGATTCAGAACATCTACCGCAATCCCCAGAACAGTGCACAGACGGCCGACGCGTCTCGCTGTAAGTTCACCATGTGTCAGCAACCCCGCTTTCCCAAACACTGCTCTTATATAAAAACAAATGTGTTGCGCTGCTTCAGCCCTGTTAGCCGGAAGCCTGGTTGGGACACTTTATCTCCATTTATTGTTTATCACCTTGCACCTACACCTGCTCCTGCTCCTGCTCTCTGTTTTTTTTTTTTTTTTTTTTCCCAGTCATGTTTCTAAGTCGTCACGTGACCCTGAGCGCAGTAAACAAGCGTCTGAACAGTGACGCCAAAGCAAACAGAACTTACAGACTGTTCCGATTATGATGGAACACTTTGAAGTGGGAGTTGTGGGTGTGTAGCGACGATTATGTTGAGCGCAGTCTAGCAGAGCTGAAGCAGTCTATCTCAAACAGGTAGGTGTGTAATGGAGTCACAGGGCTGCTTTTTTGTGTGTTTTTTTTTCTGTGGATCCTGCATTCAGACCACACATCCAGTGGAAATAACTGTATGAAGTGTTTCATATGTCTCTTGAGTCTTTTATTGTCAACACCTTTACTGTGCACCTTGGTGACGATCTTTAAAAAAATACCAGGATGCTGTACATTATTTCTAGCATTAAACCGGTCACTTTATTTGCATTTTACTTCCCTTCCTTGTTAGTTGTAATGTTGCATGCGCCACAAACAATTCACAATTCTCAGGTCAGTTTTGAAACACACCTTTTGATCGTTCCCCCACTCTTCCCCCACTAAAGATCCTCCATCAGAATGAGTGTTAAAGTTGTGTTTTGCAAGGTTGCATCAGAGCAGTGGAGTTTTGAATTTTGAATTCAGTTGTGTATGTAATGCATGAATTCAAAAACACAATAAGAGATGGAACAAAAGTGACATTTGAATGCTTTTTGTTTGTCCATCTTCCAAATATAATGTTCAGTCACCTAAAACTCTTTGGACAAGCTGTATAAACAGTACAGCATAACACTAATCTGCTAGATTACAAAATAAAAATAGGTGTAAAAGCATAAAACCTTTTAAAATTATCTGCTGAACAGTGAGGTGGTGCAACAAGTTTTCACTCCAATAAATAACGAAGCACTTACTCCTGAGATCGATGTGATAACAGCCTTCAGGGCTCCAGACTAACTTTTGCCCTGGTAGCAATGATGCGGCCAACTTCATTTGGTCCCACCTTGTCATCACCAAAACATCTGCTTATCAGTAGATGCTACAATTTACCAACGTTCCCTAAATGCAACACATTGCAGGCTGTGGTAGCTGCTGTCGGTGGCTGCGGTGTGCTCAGATAAGTGTGTGTGACCGAAAAATTCTGTGTAAAGAGTTAAACTGGGGCGTTCTAAAGTCAGATTAGTCCAAGATGAAACCGTGTGATTTTTTTTTGTACACTGCAGCGCCTTCATGCGCTGTTCCGCTCATAGGAAACGGTGAATGCAGGTGCGCTCCACATTTCACCACATTTGTATAAATAAATACCACAGTCCACCGACGTTATACAAGTGCTGCTTTCCACCACTGTGGTTAACACAGTCGCTGCCTGCGCCAGATACAGTGACACCAGCACAACCTAATGATCATCATGCACGCCCACGAATGCGACCACTTGAAATTTCAATTGTAACACTATAAAAACTAAAAAAAAAAACGGTCGCAGTCTGGAGCCCTGGCTTTGTCTGTCACATAATTAGCTGGAACTCAATTTACGGACAGGAAAAAAATAAAAAAATCTAATCACATTTTTTTCCTCCCCAGCTCTGTATTCGGTTGGATTTATATCACAGAAGCTTACGTTTTGTATTTCAGACCATTTCCCTCTTGAACATTTACCTTCATAACCTTCAAAACTCTGCCCAGTCTGCTGATGGTTTACACTGTAAGTTCTCCCTTCATCTGCAGGAACCCTCCAGCACTGACTGCACTTAATTCATGATATCACACCTCCCCACATAAATGTGGTTATACTTTAGAGACACGTCCTCCAGAGACGCAGCACATCACTTCCTGGAGTTAGAATAACTGGCCTCGTGCTGTTTTGCATGTCTTCCTGGCCACACCACCTGAGTCGGTGTCATGCTGTAATGTGCAAAGATCAGCTTTTGTTTCACGTCCTTTCTTTTGCTGATACTAAAAGCTATATTTAACTGGTTCTTTACACTTCACAGTTTCACACTACTCAGGACCTTTGCTTCTGATTCACTGAAGCAGACTTCCACTTGTGACGCCTCCAACGTAGGAAATTCTCCCTCATCTAATAACCGGAGGTCGTCATAAATTAGCTGATTAGTCGACCTAAAATTATGTTTTGCAGTATTACTCCATGACCCTTCTGGACTCAGTGTACACATAGATACACAAACAACTTTTGTAAAGGAGGTCAAAACATTGGCATATGTCATTTCACACTCCACCAATCAGGAGAAGACTGAGAGGGGTCAGCTCTAGTTTTGACTTTGCTTCTGTGAAATAAGTTGAATTGCCAAGAGAAAGAGAGAAACAGTTTTTATAGCATCCAGTGCTAGACAGATTGTTGACCTTTTTGATATTAACAGGGTGTAGCTATAATAGCAAGATGCTACGTTGCTACAGTTAAGACTCACACAGTCCATTTGAAGACTGTTTTTTTTTATACCGCCGGTGTCCCTTCAGCTTTGTCTTGACCGTCTTCCGTTGGCGTTGTGCAGGTGCCGTCAGCGATGTGGAAATGCAGGAGCACTACGACGAGTTCTTCGAGGTGAGCGACCTTTTGTGCCGGCTGCTCAGTTGTGTTCCACATATTGGACGAGGCGACGTCACGGCTGTGTTTTCTTGTTTTGTTTGTGCAATGCTGCAGCCAAAATGAGCAACTGGAGCAACACGTCACGCCAAAATGTTTCCTGTTTTGGTTCAGGAGATATTTATATAAAGCTGCTTCGATGTGCTGTTATTAAAAAAAAAAAAAAAGACATAAGTTCTGATAGTATGTTATGATCTTGTTTGTGCGTTTTAACAATAAATTAGATAATATTCTGAGCAGTAAATACCTTGTTATCAATGTGTGGCAATAGGATGGTTGAATAACATTTCTGTAGCTGTTATTGAATGCAGACAGATATCAGAAAGCCTTTATTGCCTTTCTGCAAACAAACTCTACGGCTCAGAAATGTAAATATTAAAATAGAAAATTCTGTCATCAACAAAAAGGTAAGTAAAGAAAGTATATAAATATCTATGTGTGGCGTTAATAAATTTTTAAAAAAGCTGACGGCAGAGACGGTCCACTGTAAGGAGCATTTAGGGAGAAGGAAATGTCATTTATTCTGATGTAATCCTCCTCAGGTTCAACTGTATTGTGCACCACAGGGTAGATCATAATCAGTAGCAGCAATAAAGATAAATGCAATATATCGTAAACCTCACTTCAGACTATAAGAGCTCTACATTAACAGCGCCGCCTTTACGACTTCCTGTTTACGTCATCTGAACCTTTTGCACAGAATTATTATTTTCATTTACTACCCAGCCTAAGTCTAAACATCACTGGTACAGGGTTTAACCCAGAGCCGTGGTTAGTGATGTGGAAGCCTCGGCTAATCCTCCTTAACCGTATTCTCGTTAAAGTAAGATATAAGATAAGATATATATATAATAAAGATATAAGTTATACCTACTGGATACTAAACTCTTGTTTTCCTCTTGTTGCCGACGCAGGAGGTGTTCACGGAGATGGAGGAGAAGTATGGAGAGGTGGAGGAGATGAACGTGTGCGATAACTTAGGCGACCATCTTGTCGGCAATGTCTACGTTAAGGTCGGTGAAGGATCTCGATGTATTACGTTTATTTATGGTCCGTTTGTTGTTGAGAGTTTTGAGGGTTATCGTGTCCTCTGTGCACAGTTCCGTCGTGAGGAGGATGCAGAGAAAGCAGTCATGGACCTGAACAACCGCTGGTTTAACGGCCAGCCAATCCACGCAGAGCTCTCCCCCGTCACTGACTTCAGGGAAGCCTGCTGCCGCCAGTATGAAATGGGGTGAGTGTCAGCTGCCTATTAGTAAAAAAAAAAACAAATGTAAAATGTCCATTGAAACTAGCTTAAATGCAATAAAACATCTAGAATACTTTGACTTCTTGGGGATTGTATACTGTAAGAGCTTCAGTTAAAAAACTACTCATTCTGGTTCCTGAAGATATTTCACCTCCTCCTTCTTCAGAACCAAGCAGAGAAGTCTTGTTGCTTTCTTAATCTACACAGAAATACACTGCAAATATTTATGACTTCTGAACTTTTTTGCTCAACAGTTTATTCTAAGAAAACATGGACAATTCTAAGTGACAGAGTTAGAAGTTTAAATCTTTTTTTATTAGCACCTAAGCAACTTTTGATTTTTGTTTTCCTCGGTTTGATAAGCTGATGGCACAAACAAAGAAAATCAGCGAATCTTAACATGTTTGAAAGTTTTATTTAAGCAGTAAATGTCAAGTGACTTTCTGTCTCAAGTCATCACAACAGAAAACTACCTTTTACTCCTCTGAGCCCATTTTTCTTTTTTAAGGCAAGACATCTTTAAAAAAAAATACCAAAAGAACATTATTTATCAGAACCAGGAACTGTAAAAACGTTGCCACCATTTGACCCAGACTCTGTAAAAATACCAAATTGGTGACTCAGCTGCAACCAACACTCATGTGACAAAAATCAAGACTTCTTCTTTTTTTTTGCCTGAACTGCAGGCAGTGTTTCCACAGAGGACATGAGTCACCAGTTTTCCCAGTAACACTTGTGGGCACCTTGAAAAAATGTTGCACCATTGATTCCATGTTGGGGTTTTTTTCCGCTTTTTTTGTAGAATAAATAATCAAATACATTTAACTTTGACAGTTTAAATTTATTGAGCTAAACAGACGGTATTTCTGAGCTCTCTCCTCCTGTCTGCTCCATGGAGGTGCTTTACTTTATATTCCAGTGAAAAATGAGCCACAGTGAGGCAAAGTGTGACATAACAGCCAGTAACTTTGGCTTCAGAGGGTTGAACCACCACCAGAAGGACGTGTTTGCTATTTGCTCCATTTACATCGTTGGCAGTTGTACTCTCCAGCAATTGTACCTATAAAACCATATCTTTAATAGTTGCCTGATTAAAGGGGAATATCTCACTGAATTCAGCTGAGAAGTCCTTTAACCTTGGGTGTGTGTGTGTGTGTGTGTTTGGGTATCGGGTAAACAAGAGTATGTGATGTTGGCAGCCCGGTGGTGTGATGGGAGGAAAGTCTGTCCTGCATCCAGTCGAACCAAGACAAAGCTGCTCTGTTCACTGTGCAGGTGGATTAACAAGGAAAAGAGCCTGGAAGAGTAGTTTGCACACATTTAGCTGAAAATGACAGTAAAGCACAGCATCAGCTGATATGATAAGATAGCTGCGCTGAGCCGGATGGACTTGAGGGTAACGGGTGCTGCTTCGTTGGGCTTCATTGAGCCAACTTGTCCTTCTAGCAAGTCGCTGAAATTGTACCAGCTGCATGGGCACTGTGTCGAGTATTACATTTTGTTATAAATGCAAAGATAAACTTTGTCCTTGCACACTGGGAGGGACCTTCTGATCCTCTCCTTTATGAGTCCCTCAGTGATTTTCCATTGGATCTGGGCTTGTTTGCTCGGACATTGATAGGACGCAGTGAGCGTGGAGGGAGATAAAGATTAGGTGTTCTGCTCGGTGGGTTGGCATGCTCCTCAGCATGTGGAACTTGGAACCAACTTTTTCCTCGTGGCACAGCTCCACCAAACACAAGGCCAGCGAGGTTTAACCCTTTCACGTGTGGTTTCCCTGCAGGGAGTGCACCCGAGGGGGCTTCTGCAACTTCATGCACCTCAAACCCATATCGCGGGAACTTCGAAGGGAGCTGTACGGCCGCCGCAGGAAAAGGTACGGACACGCTCGAAAGCCTCTCAAGAATCCGTTTGTAATCATTTCAAGCTAACCACTTCCTCCTCTCTTCCCATCAGGCACCGCTCCCGCTCGCGCTCCAGGGAACCCAGGGAACGACGCTCCCGATCCAGGGACCGACGACGGGACCGCGAGAGGCGGAGGTCGAGGGACCGAGAGCGCTCTGGAAGATTCTGAAGGAAGACTGACCCACCAAATCCCCCCTCCCTGTGAACCCCAGCAGTGATGACAAAGTTTTTTTTTTTGTTTTTTTTTTCTGTTTTTGGTGAATTGTTGAAAGTGTTTTTTTCTTTTATTCCCTTTTTTTAAGACGAGCTTGTGTCGCTTTCTCAATAAAAACAGATTTGTAACTCTGCACTGGCACCGTGAGCTTATGTGAACATCAGTTTATTACTTTGCTGGATCTGGTACACAGCTGTGAGAAGACGTGAAAAACAGATGACGTCACACATTTCAAGTGCTTTAAAAACATCTGGTGTAATCTGCCAAACTGGATCATGATGGGTATCCAATTGTAAACTACTTTTTATACTGATGCTACGAAAAAAATAAGAGACTAGCTGGTTTTGAAATGGTTAAAAATCCAAATTAGAGCTCCTCTCAAACTCACTACCTTGACTTTTAGCCATAACTCAGACAGACTGATGGATCTTTGGGTCATTTTCATTTAGAAAATATACTTTACAACAGATACAAACAACTGCTTTTCTCCAAATGCATCCTAATCCACGCACCTCGAGTCTATTTTTCCTTTTCTGTTGTATTATTTCTAGTGAGCGACTTATGCAACAGCTTGATCAACCAGTAACTGTGGCTTTTCATCCAGTTCAGCTGCTTCCCTCATTTGCATTAAAAGAACACCGTAAACGCAGCACTGGAAGAAACATCTGGATGAACCAGTCTATGTAGAACAAAGATAAACGTGTGTTGTTGGCCAAGTTCACTTAAGGTATTCAGGTTTATTTTGAGGTGGAGCCAAAAAAACAAACATTATCCATCTGTGAGTCATTCTTCATAGAAAAAGTCTGATCTGATTCCAGCTTGTTAAATATGAACATTTTCTGGCTTTTCTCATCCTCTGTGACAGTAAACTGATTATATTTTAACATTTTACAAACCGAACGGCTAATGCTGGTTCACCACATGCTTCTTCTCAGGGAACTTTACATCATAAGGACAACAAAACGACAATAATTTATTATGTTGTATTGCAAAGAAAACCTCAACAAATCTAAATGTTACCGTTCAAAATGTGTTGGAAAAGCATCTTTCTCAGTATCATAAATATTAGTTGAAGTTTAACCTGCATCAAGGAGTAAAAAGTCATGTTTTTGTCTGGATTGTGGCCTAGAAATGGAAACAATAAATGAGCTTAGTTAAATTATTTAAAGCATAATGTCTGTTTGGTATGAAATCATTATAATAATCGTAACTTATCGAACACTTTTCGAAATCCAGGTCATGAACTTTTTTTATAAGGGCAGTAAAATAAAACAGGCAAGTCATAAAGTCTTCCGTACAGTCTGGATCAAGAGATTCTTGGTCGTAATTCAAGCGTGAAGATGAAGCCGGCCTCTTCTTCTCCAGGGATATTTGAGCATTCTGGTCAGTTTTTATGCCCCAATTTGTGCTTTTCCTGCATTAATTTACAGTTAAAAAAACTTCATTCATATAAGAAAAATCACAAAATTCCAGAACAAAGAGTAAAAGTTAGAGCTTTGGCTTAAGATAAAGCAAAATGTAATCATGTGATGTTCCTAAATTCCTCAGATTTTGCCCTCCTCAAACGGAAAACTGGAGAAAAGGGGAGTTTAATTCCTCATTTTGAATGAATTCAATCCAGACGAACATGAGCGACGTCAACAGCAATGTTGTTAATAATTGTAGAGGCGTAATAAATCATATTTACCTCTTCAGTGTGGTCTAAAAATAGACTAACTTAAATTGTATATATATATTAAAAAAAGAAATATTACAGTACTTGAAAATCACAAATCAGTGCATATAGTAACTTGTTACTGGGATTACTGTCGTGATAATAAAGGAGTAATAAGAATGTTTGTTAGCAGCAGATGTGGACAGACAGAAAATAATTAACTGTTACATTACTGAAGCGCACAAAAAAAAAGCAAAACAACACTTGTGATTTGAGCCAGAATAGAGGACAGAGGTTTTAAATTAGTCATTAGAGTTGTTGTGTGGCATTTGATAAAATTGCAAATCAATAAAACAGCGGGAAAAGTAATTGTGATGCCACTCAAACACATTAACAACAATCCTGCATTCACGCAATCTGACAACGGCATAAAGACAGTAACTCATGCTGCACATTTAAATAAATGCAATGGCTTATAGTAGTGCAGAAAGTACATACAAGATACACTTGTATGTAAACACATGTGCAGTTTTAATATATAAATAGATATCGGATATCGTAGAAGGTGCAGTATCTGTCTATATATATATGTGTGTGTGTGTGTGTGTACATGTATATAAATAAGCATAATTAATGTAGCTTCCATACATACGCTACACATATATAGGAATCACAACACAGCACACTGTACTGTAATTACATATGTGTGGGTGTGATATGATATCTATATATGATAACATTTTAATCTTGAAAACAAATTTATGGATCTGCTTCAGCTTTATTGTGCAATTATGCAATATGTTTTTTTGTGATTAAAATGTGATTTAGCACTGATAAAATGTTAAGATACTGCTCCAGGACACATATTTCTTGATAAGAGCGTGGTAGCTACCAAAAAATGTCGCTCAAACCAATAGGGGTTCTGCGGAATTTTACATCATGTTAATAAAAGTGACTAAATCATTAAATTAATGGCTCTTTAAATTAATATTGCGCTAATAACAGTGCCAAGTCCTGGAGATGTCACATGCATCTCGGGCCGTGCAGTGCGTGTTGGGTCAATAAAAGGTAAACAGATGGTGCGGACAACTTTAACTCAGCGTTTTCCCGAACCCCTTTTGGAGAACTCCGCGTTCTGATTGGCGGAGCCGACCAAACAGACGCCCCCGCCGGAGCCAATCAGAGGGCGCCTTTGGACCCCCGTCGTCCTCCCTTCTCGGTCCACGTGCGTCGTGATGATAAGCGCAGCCGCGGTGTGGAGCCGCTCAGTCCGCCGTGTGTCTCCGAGGTGCCCGTCGGTTCTCCGCTGTTTTCCCAGGTTTCCAGGCACATTTAAAGCTCCAGGTGAGTGAAAAGAGGCGAGTGAAGGGGCAGAGGGACGAAACGATGTCACACTGGTCCATTTAAACGCGTGGTTCCGTCACGCCGGCTGACCGAGAGCCGAGGATGCGGTTCTGATGCAATATTGCGACTGCGTAGCTGAGCTTTTTTTTGTTCAATACTTACTATTTCTTTCGGCTCTTATCTCACATTTAATATTAATTATTTTAATGTAATTACTGCCCCTTTATTGTCACAATGTCGTTAACAGTACGTGTCTTTGCGTGGCCCCCTTTTATCACCTCAAACCGTTATTTTTTATTGCAGTTAGCTTTGTTACGGCGCTGGTGCACTACAGCCGGCGAACAACGTGTTAGCACGAAATAACGATCACTTCTTCCACTGTTTCATCGATTAGCCTCTTTATTTAAAAATGTGTCTCGTCAGTCGTTTATTCCAGTATGCCAACTACATTTTGATGAATAAATAGATTTCAGGGGAACACCATGTAACACGGGAATTACTTTTATTCAGCCAAAATAGATGCTAGCATTTTTTTTTCTCACAAGTTTAAAACTATCTCACACAGACACACACGCGTGTATATATAGCTACATGTGTGTGTGGAGGTGTTACAGCTCTAGTAAAAGAATAAGTCCACTGTTTAATCAATTAATTGCTTCATTAAAAGCCAAACAGCAGCTGTAATGACTGATTTATTCCCTCAGTTGTTCTTTATAACCACAAGACTTTTGTGGTATTTTTGCATTTTTTAATGTGTTTTTTAACATGGGAAAAGCAAAGATTTCTTATATTCTGCCTGCTATAAAGTAGTCTTTTATATATATATATTCTTTTAAATCTGTAAAGCATCAGAAGCAACAAAAATCACAGTAACCCAGGCACACAAGTTGCCATTTATAAATGTGCTGTTTCATCCCAACATGTGACTTTTTGACTTGAAACCCCGATTCTTTCAAACAGTACCTGCCTCCTGTACTTCCCCTCCTGCTCCAGTGTGGTATCACTACCTGTCATCTAGCGCCACATCAGCTAAAAGCCCATCATAATTCAGCCTCCTGACCGTGTGGCGAGGGATTCACAGGTGTACATGTCCGCACTTTTACATTGTTTTTGTAGTGGCAGCATTCCTCCTGTTCACATTCGCCACCATTTGTTATGGCTCAGTGGATATCTGTTGTGTTTGTTGCTGGCAGAGCAGATATCCGACCCACACTTATGCCATTTTTAAGCGCTCCGAGCCATAAAGCGCTGAACAGCAGCGAACATACCAAAGGTGATTATGACTGCTACAACTTAAGCAGATAAAAACGTCTGATGAGGGATTTTTCATTAGATTGGGGTTGATGTTGCCAGGCTCTGATCAGGTGATCTTGGCGCTGGGTTTCTTCAGCCTGGTAGGTAATTGAAGGGGATTGGACTTTTGGCTTGAAACAAAATTAAACTTTCTCCTTGTTAAATCCCTTTGCAGAGCTTTCTTGCCATGCAGCCTGGCTCAGAGCCACGTGGGCTCGCACGGAGGATCGCGTTGCCTCGTTGAACCCTGTCTTTCCCACATTTACCACAGCAGTTGCAGCTACCTTTACTGGCAGCAAGATTCACAGTGGTTCAGGAGGGTTCACACCAAAGACTGATTTTAGATACCACACGTAGTGCTTTTATAATAGAACTCTGCCATAACGGATGAAAGTTTATTAGTAATATCTCTTTCATCTAGAAGGAGTGATAGTTTAGGCAACATTTTCAGAGTGCAGTTTTCTTTTCCCCTGCAGAGTTGTTTGCTTAAGATGCAGTCATTTCGCTGTGTGAACATCGCCTGAACTCACGTTGGAGTCAAAGAGGGGCCCCTGGTTTTAACAGCTGGCTCTGCTGTGTGCACCGTGCATTAGTGAAGGTTCACGTGCTGCCGTTTCAGCTGGCCGATGGAGGAAGCTACTGGATGCTTGAATAAGCTGAGAGGAGCTTGTAAATGTGTAGAGGCTGAATAAACAGGAAACGCTCCGTTTTCTAGGTAATTTCATTGTGACTGTTGTCACTAAAATCAAAGCTGACGTAAGAAACACTGATGGTTTCATCAGTTAGTCTGCACTTTCAAAAACACAGATGTTGAGGTTGGAAATGTTGAGGTGTATTTGCATGTTAACATCCAAAAACTTAAGCAGTTTCTGGATGTTTTTTTGCTCCTGTATAATTTTTTCTCACCATTTTTCTCTGCAAGATAAAGTCCTGCACCGCTATGGAAACCCGCAAACACGGCGAGGATGGGAGAGAACTCGTGAATATCTTTTGTGCAGTGTAACAAAGTCAGAACACCGAAAATCTTCAAAAAAGAAAAACTGAATTTCTTCGATTTATTTCACAAAAATAGGGGAAAAATGGAATCAACATGTACAAAATTCTCCCAATTGTCCACGTGTGTTACCAGTACTGGGTGGCTCGACATACTGTTTCACTATTTACAGTTTTAATTCATTTCCATACTTGTTTCCTGTCAGTACTCTCATAAACACAGCCTGCAGCTCAGCCAGAAAGTCCAGAATTTTTGTCTCGGTCACAGTTGAGTCACGAATGGCTTCATGGTTGCGCCGAGGAGTGCAGAATTTTTAGTTTTTTTAATCGAATCTTCTTCATACAAATAAAGAATGTAGAACAAAGTGATTCTGATGAGACATCGCAATTTTTTTTAGACCAAACGTTGTTCAAGAAGAGTCAGAACGTTCAGGGATTGCAAGGGTTACGTAATTTAAATGATTCATTGATTACCACAGTTAGAACTTTATTTCCTGTCGATCAGCGACTCTAATTTCAGTCCATTGCGCGACAACCCTCGGACCTACCTTTAAAAGCATCAAGCTGTCTGGCCTCTCCTGAGACGGTTTTATGACCACAATTCATATTAGCCAGTCAGCTAGTTTACTATCGAGACAATTACTCAACTCATTCACTAAACTAACAGCCAATGACATGATTTAAAGCTCGTGTTTGCCCTGCCAGAGTTTATGGTAATGTTTAACATCTAGGTATGTGCGTGCGACTGTCACAACCGTCATTGGTGGTGATTATAAAGTCATTTCGGGGTTCACATTAACCACCAACACAAACTAAAAGCGAAGTTGTGGTTTTAGTGGTGGATCATAAACCCGTAAGTTAGTTAGTGTGCTGGAACCACAGTGCAGCATGCTGGACTTATTCTCTCGTTTTTACTATTCCTCTCTGAATCACGATGCTTCTTCACTGTTCTCCGTCACTGCTGATGTAATAGTATCAAAAGCTTGATCAGCCAGTCATCTGTGCCTTCCCCTCCTCTCACTTCCGTTTTCCGTACAACTGTGATGAAAGCAGCAATCAAACTGTCGAAATTTTACGCAGAATGAAACTCACTATGACTGGGCTAAATGTTAGGCAACTGATTTGATCCTGAGAAATACCAGCGGTGTCTGCTGCCAGAGCACCTGGGCAAGCACGATCAAGCCTCGCTGTGGATGTGACTCAGCATTAAGGAAAGAAAGGAGCGGTTCACTGTTTGCTTTTCACTGGGTGTTGTTTTTATGTAGCAGTAAATCAACGCACGTCGAATTAAATTTTAAGTGCTATCCGGCTGTTTACGTCTTTCACCTCACGCAACCTTCTTGTGCTCGAGTTTCATCCTCTACTTGACACTCTGTGGCTGTAGTTGCCGCTAATTTGTTCAGTTTGTTCTCAAAAAAGAAGTTTATTGGATTATTTGGTGATTTACATACCAAGTTTCATGGTTGTCTGCGGGGTGAACGAAAATCTGTCAGATTATGATCTCGCCCCATCAGCGTCAGTGTTCATTAGCAAATGGTTGCATGCTCACACAATACAATACATTCAAAATACTTAACATTTAAGGTTTATTTCTTGGGCTTTATTTGATAGGAAGTTGTTTAGAGATAGGTAATGCACGCAGCAAATAGTCTGGAATCGAACCGGTTATCTGCTCTAACCACCAAAATGGGCGCAACCGAAAAATACTTTCAGGACCAATATTAACAGTGAGTACAGTGTAATCAAGGAGGATATTAATGAGCAGTAAAATGACTCTAAGGTTCCTTCTCATAGAACATAAATCATGTCTTGGATATCAGCGTTTATTGCCTGGCTAATCGCTGTTTTTGTGCACAACAAAAGACAGGAGTGCATTCTTATCTATAGGATAAAAGTCGTATAAAATTGCGTAATCCTATTTCCTGTTCGTTTGTCCTCTAGGCTAAACCATGCCGTCGGTTCCATCCACCAAAGAGAGCCCAGTCAAAGCCCCCGTGTGCCCCCACGCTGGCAAACTGCTCAGCCACACCAACGGAGAAGCCAAACTCCGCGAGGGCTCTTTCCCACTGAACGGCGTTGAAAAGCTGACGGTGGTGCAGGCCCCCGAGGAGTCGAGCAGAACCATTCAGATCAACACAAAGAACGCCAGTCCTGAGAGGAAATGGATCCGGCCCGACCTTCCCAGCCGCTGCACATGGAGCCTGGGAGCGTCGAAAGCCGACTCCCCTCACGCGCAAGTTCCAAGGTCAGTGTCAGGTTTCACACAGGAAGCCGGTGGGTTTGCAGGTAAAACCTTCACCAAGACATACATTCAAATGCTGAGATCTTATTTTGTTTGTTTAAACCAGTTGAAATAATCTACTGTGGAGTGGTGCTTGGTACTAGATGTTCGATGTTAAGATCTATCGGCGATAAAACAAGTGTAAACAAGCTGTATTGTGTAACGCTAATGGCAGCAAGAAAAACAACACACTAGAGGTTATCTTTGTACAATGTTTGCACGCCCACACACAGCGTCTCGATGTAATTCTCTTTGCTGAGACTTTTTTTTTTCTCTACCTTTTTTAACCTTCTAACTTTCTCCTCCCAGAAACGTCGCTCCAACCATCCTCCCAAACATCCTGCACAGGATCGGTGACACTCCCTTGGTACGCATCAACCAGATATCCAAAGCGTTTGGCCTCAAATGCGAATTACGTGAGTCACAGACACACAAGTCCAGACACATAATCATTTCAGACCGACGGTGCAACTGTTGCTTTTATTTTTGACTCGTTCGCACCTCGTAAACAAGCGAACGGTGGCGCGAGATGTTTCTCAGAATTTGACTTCAGTTATGACTGGAACAAATGAAAGTTCACGCTTGATTGCATCATCCGGCCTTTTACCGTAATGGCAGCAGTGAAAGAGAACTGTGTTGGGTTTTTGCAGTGGCCAAGTGTGAGTTCTTCAACGCTGGCGGCAGCGTCAAGGACAGGATCAGCCTGCGGATGGTGGAGGACGCTGAGAGAGCTGGGATCCTCAAGCCTGGAGACACCATTATAGAGCCCACCTCTGGAAACACTGGTAATCGCCTGCACGTGTTGCTACGCGAAAAGGCATTTAGAGGTTGGGTAATTAGCAGACAGCGACAGTGTTGTAAAACCTGCTCTTACGTGTTTTTTAAGGAATCGGACTGGCTCTGGCTGCAGCTGTAAAAGGTTACCGTTGCATCATCGTCATGCCTGAGAAAATGAGCATGGAGAAGGTGAGCTCTCTGCCATCTTGAAGTTACTACTCTACATAGTTTCTTTTCAAGTAAACCAGACTGAGTGCTCAGAGACTTGAGCTGTTCCCATAATGGTGCTGCAGTTTCATAACATAAAGTCCTACACCTCATTGGAAACAACACAACCATGAGTAGAAGTCGTGTGAAACAGTTTTCCCACAAATCATGAAAAACAACAAATAAAAGTTGAGTTTCTTTGATTGTTTGTGAAAAAGAAAAACCTAGAATCAACCATGTCCTACATTTATCCAAGAGCCTATAGATGTGATCAATGCTGAAAAACAAAGGTTTTTTAAAAAGATATTTTACTATCTGCATTTTTAATTTGGTAAACAGAGCCTTCAGTTTCACCCAGTTCAACTAAAAAGTCCCTGAATTCAAAAAATAAATAACTAAAAATAATGTAATTGGTTTCAGCCGGGTCTTTGATGGATTCCTGGTCGCGCTGAGGAACACACAAGCTCTTGTTTTGTTTTACATAATCGAGCAAGCAGCTGATTTTTGGTGCATTTTTACATGAGAATAAAATTATTGTTTATGTAATGTCAATACTTTATGATTTGATTCGGTTCCCATTTCCTGACCAAATAACAGATGAGGAGTTTAAGGATCATCAGAAAGCTTAAAACTAAATGATTCTTCATGTTTTTCATTATTTCTGGCTTTGATAAATAGTGTAGTTCAGAGGGTTAATCCCCTAAAATTCGGATCCACAATGACCCCACTCTGTACGCCGATATGACACAAAACCCCATGAGCCTCATTTGCACCGCATGGTTAAGCTCGAGTTAACTCTTCTAGCTTTTGATGCCAGAGGCCTTTCTGTACTTGGTTCTTTAGTGTCGCCTCATTCTTAGCTGCTTTGATTCTGACAACTTTGTGCTCATCTGATTCAGCAACAACCTTCTCAGGAGGCAGAGTTTTCATTTCGTTTTCGTGCTTTTCAGGTGGATGTCCTGCGAGCTCTCGGAGCGGAGATCGTCCGCACGCCCACCAGCGCTCGTTTCGATTCGCCCGAGTCCCACGTGGGCGTGGCCTGGCGCCTCAAGAACGAGATCCCCGACTCGCACATCCTGGACCAGTACCGCAACCCGAGCAACCCTCTGGCTCACTACGACACCACGGCCGAGGAGATCCTGGAGCAGTGCGATGGTACGGTAGAGCTCAAACTCAGCTGCTGTTGTCGGCTGAAATGCGGACGTTCATCAGGTTCTAAGTTGTATTCTTGACTCTCTGACAGGTAAAGTGGACATGCTGGTGGCTGGTGCAGGCACAGGAGGGACCATCACAGGCATCGCTCGCAAACTGAAGGAAAGATGCCCAAACATCAAGGTAGGCTGATGTCCAACATCGTTTTTCTGATTGAATTATTTGCAGACTTATTCCAGCTACGGTTGAGGGGACGCAGAATAACAGAGCTTCTTGTTCTTATGAATGGTGCATTTTGTGCGCAGATTGTTGCCGTTGACCCAGAAGGCTCCATCCTGGCTGAGCCCGAGGAGCTTAACAAGACCGATAAGACCCAGTACGAGGTGGAGGGCATCGGGTACGACTTCATCCCCACCGTGCTCGACAGATCAGTGAGTTACACTTCTTCTTTCCCCCCCCCCCTCTGTCTTCTTGTTTAATATGTCCCCAACCGTCACTTCACGTGTTTTTATTTTAATTCTCCAGGTCGTCGACACCTGGTACAAGACCACAGACGAGGAGACCTTCAACATGTCCCGTATGCTGATCAGAGACGAAGGCCTGCTGTGCGGTACGTCTTCAGACGCCGTAAACTCAGATTCTCCGAAGGTGATGTTTACAACCAACTCACGCTTTTGCTGCTCTGTGTGACAGGAGGCAGCTCTGGAACCGCCATGGCAGCCGCTGTGCACGTCGCCAAAGAGCTGAAGGAGGGCCAGCGCTGTGTCGTCATCCTGCCAGACTCCATCCGCAACTACATGTGAGAGTCATTTCCAGTCACCACAGTCTGTTAGTGGTGTCATAAAAAGTAAACTTCAGGTTCAGTTCAGGCTTTACTGGAAGATTGACGACTGCCATTAACCCTCTGAAACCCAAGCTAGCCAAGTGTCTTCTGTACAATATGACACAGTTTTAATTTTGTTTTATTTTTAAAAATGTGCATGTTGACATCCATATGTACAACATTTTTTCAAGTGTCCAGACGTGTTGCCAATTCTAGGAAACGACTGACGTGTTCAATTTGTCATTCATACTCGTTTCGTGTGCATTCGTTGTAAATACTGCCTGCAGTTCAGCCCAGCTCAGTGGGACTGTTGGTCGCAGATGAGTCACTAATGATTTCTTCCTTGCAACGAGGAGCACAGAGTTGTTGTTTTTTTTAGTTTTTTAACAGAATCTGGTTAAATTTTTGCTAAATTCTAAAATGAGTCACGTAGAATGAAGCGATGTCGATGAAATGTCACCATTTTTAGCTCCGATTTGGTCGTTTTTTTCCCAGCAAACCTGACACGAGTTGTTCAAGAACCATTCACAATCCAACCATTCTTTCTGTTTTTACAGTTTCTGACAAATAGTGCGATTTTGTTCATTTAAAAAAACAGCATTCTTTTTAAACTCCACCAGCTGATTTTGGGATTCACACAGTTAATACAAGAGCAGCTAGTTTTGTTGAAAACGTAAAGGCAAAAAGACAAAACAAACTAACTTTAATGTACGACATTATCTTATTCTATTCTCTTGGCTAACATATATGGAAAGAACTTTATACCTGAAGTAAAATCTTTCTGCTGTTTCTACTTCCCTCATGTGGCTCATTGAGGTCATTTGATGAGCGTGTCACGACAAGAAATTCACGTCGAGCTGCTCAGAAGATAAATAAATGGTGCAACAGTGTGTAGTTAGTGTGTAATTGCTGCCTGAATGGCACCAGAGAAAAGACAACATTACAGGGTTGGACGTCACCGTAGATGTTTGCAGATATATGGTTTTGTTTGTCTTTGTGTAAGCAGAAAACCTGATCTCTATTTTTTCCCCCCTCCCTCTTTTCGCCTGAAGGTCAAAGTTCCTGAGTGACAAGTGGATGGTTCAGAAAGGCTTCCTGAGGGAGGAGGACCTCATGGTGACGAAACCATGGTGCGTGTGTTTTGAGGGTATAATTATCTTCTCGTGCAAACCTCCACGTCTGCTTGCGTAACACGTCGTCATGTCTCTTTGCCCTGCAGGTGGTGGAACCTGAAGCTGCACGGCCTGAACCTGTCGGCCCCCCTCACCGTCCTGCCCACCGTCAGCTGCCAGAAGACCATTAAGATCCTCAAAGAGAAGGGCTTCGATCAGGCGCCGGTCGTGGACGATGCCGGGTCAGTGTCCTTCTGTTGATAGGACAAACTCGACAGCAGTTACACACTAAATGTTTGGGAGTATCAGGGCCACATTAAGAGAAATATTTTTCCACAAACTTTAAGAATGAAGTCGGAATATTTACGCCAGTTGTTTGAAGAGGAAAGCTGTTAAAATGAGGGCAAGAAAATGAATCTATTCCGACGGTTCTTTCTTCGGAATAGATTAATTTTCATGCAGATTCTCTTCAAAGTCCTGATACTTATGATAATGTGGTGCTGATGTGCCAAAAGATGAAATATCTCCTGGTTTGTTTCACAAAAAATCGATGCTGTACAACTTAATGAACTGGTTTCAATGTTACGACTTTGTTCTCATAAAAATGCGACTTTATTCTCGATGTCTGTGGAAAAATGTTTTTCTTAACGTGGCCCCAATACTCCGTCACAGTTGTTCTTCACATATTTCAAGAAATTCAACTTTTTTTTTTTTCTTTTTAATCAGAGACTTTGTCCTGCATGGCTAAAGTTTAACTTCGACCCCTGTGTGTGTAGGTTAATCCTGGGAATGGTGACTTTGGGGAACATGCTGTCTTCGATCCTCGCAGGGAAGATCAAGCTGTCAGACCCGGTCAGCAAAGTGCTCTACAAGCAGTTCAAACAGGTGAGACGTGAAATTAAACGTGGGAATGTGTGAAGCTGAAGCCCTCTGTGATGTTTGAATATGTTGAACTTGTGAAGTCTGATGAATTTGAAGACTAAAATTCTAATTCTGATAAGCAAACAATGAGACAAAGCAGCTCGGGGGAGGTTTTGCAGAATGATTGCAGAACAAGAGCGGGAACAGTTTACTGGAGTTTGTCCAAAATTCAAAGTATGTATTATATGAATTAAGTGTGTGGAGGTGCTCAGGCAGCCTGGTCCTACAGCACCACCTAATGGCAGTAAGAGGCTGTTTCATGACTTTGACCCTAATAGTAAGCAGATGATGAAACGGCTCTCAGGTTTTTCATCACTTTACCTCCGCTTTACCCGGAGTCACACACCTTATAAAACATCTGCTGCATGTTTCCAGCCTGCTAGTTACATTCATTGATCTCTTTTCCGCTCTCAATGTCACCCACAGATCCGTCTGACCGACACCTTGGGAAAGTTGTCTCGCATTCTGGAGACCGACCACTTTGCTCTGGTGGTGCACGAACAGATCCAGTGTAAGTACAGCAGCAGGTTCCATAGACACTCCCTCTTCCTTAGATTGTGTAGTCATGAGCTCCACTTCTTCAGCTCTGTGAAACCCCTCGTGTAAAATCATCTGACAAAAGGTTGCAAGCAATTCTCCAATCCGTGACCAACAGTGTGCAGGGTCAGTCTGCTGGTGAACCTGCCACTCCGCCACACCCCACATGTTTTATGACAACATTGGTCAAGCGCAGTGGGTCAACTTGCCACCCATTATGTCTCTCTGACACGCGAGTGTCAAAGTCCAGCAGCAGAAAGAGCATCCCACAGGGGAATGGATTTTAGACAGCCCTGACCTGTCTAAGTGTAGTCTAGAAGAGATGAGGGAAAAAAACACACTGCAGGTTTCTGTGTGTTTTTGTCTGGTGTAAAAGCCAAGGTTGTGTTTAAACAATCACAGTATTGACAAGGTGTTACAAACTTTTGTATTGCAAAAAAAAAGACTATTAAAGGGCACCGCTGTGGCTCACCTGGTTGAGCTGGCAGCCCATGTACCGGGCTACAGTCCCGATGTGGAGGTCATGAGTTCGAATCCCGCTCATGGCACTTTCCCACACGTCCTCCCCCTACTCTTCTCCCCCACTTCCCTGTCTCTCTGTCACTGCTCAATCAAATAAAGGCCAAAAAAATAACTTAAAAAAGACTATTCATTACAATTATGTAACACAAAAGCTGGACAAAGTTACCTTAAAATAGAGTGTAGCTGCTTTTGCATAAATTCTGTTGAGTGAGCAGCCGCAGATTGGAACAAACTGGAACCACCAGTCAGACGCTGGTAGACTTTGGCTCAGGGGCGGATGTTTCAAAGCAGTGGATTCTGTTACATATCAGCTGATACATGAGCTCCAGTGTAATATGTTTAAGTTGACATGCCGTCATTCAAGATGCTGTAACCAGCTCTCCGAACACGTGGCAGGACACATGCTTTATTTTCCACGCGGTGTGACAAGAGCAGGTTGAACTAACAAAAGATATTTGCACTTTGGTCGCATGTGTCGCGCAAAACAAAATGTTTTCTCTTGATATTATCCAGCTGTGCCTAAAAACCTCAAACAAAACATATCAGCATATATACAGCTATACATTAAACTGAAAAGCAACACAGGTGTTAAGACATGTGCAAACTGAGCACAAAGTGCAACCAGAAATGTGCAAATAATTACCTAAAACACAACAATATGTTAACAAAGGCAGCCCATAAATACTTCATTATCTGTCTAACAGTCCGAGGTCAGGTCGAAGCTGAGTGTTTTTAGTCTGAGCTCTCAAGGCTGCAGTCTGTCTGACTTCAGCAGCTTAACCAGTTTATGACTGGGGTGAGTGGAGTCTCCTGAGAGCCCTGCTCAGACTCCAACTGGTGTGGATGTCTCCTCGGGTGTGGAGTGTGGTTCAGATATTGGGCTCAGCTAAGCTCGTCGGCAGGACAGAGTGATCTCTGTACCAGGCAGCATACACCCAGTGAGGAGGCTTTGAATAGCTCCAGAGTGAGAAGCCCTCAGGAGGGCTGGAGTCTGAACTACTAGAGGTAGCAATAAAATAACAATATTTCTAAACACACAGAATAATCACAGTTAAATTTCCAATAGATTAAACTCCCCTATTGTGTTTCTTTTCAGCAAATTCATCCAAATCTCACATGACGCCAGAATGTGTGATTTTCAGCTCCAAATTCTGCAAAGATGGTTCGTTTCACCATGATCACCAGAACTTTTTTTTTTTTTTTTGCATCTTTCACTGCAAACGTCTGGTTTTAGAACTTTCAAAACATCTCTGATAAACCCACGGGTTGCTACATGCCCAACAGATGACTAACACGATGGAGCATTCAGCAACTACCTAATAGTTATTGGACATCAAAACAAAGCTGCTCACGAACACTCATGTTGAAATAAGCAACTGTTGCTCCATGATTGTAATATTTTAATGTGGGTTCTACTGCCCCCAAGTGGCCAAAATGTTAACGAACGCTGCTCTCATCCAACTTCAAGCAGTTTTACCACTGACATCAGATGTCTAAAGGCAGCAGACTTACAGTTTGCTCATATTTGAACCCTCCTGCATAAACCAGCCTCAGTTTTATCTGTATTGTGGTATTTCATACAAACTAAAACCTGCGTTATTGACAGAACTAAGGTGTCTTTTAATTGCATACGACCTTAAATGACTCCATTTCTGGCACCAGAGTGTTTAGTAAAAGCGTTAGACAAGCCTTGGTTTGCCCAGACTGTTGTGAAGTTGTCACTGGAAAAACACCTGCTGTAACTTTTAAATCTCTACGTCCCTCTTTGTTGTCTCCACCAGACCTGACAGACGGCTCCCCCAGCCTGAAGCAGATGGTTTTCGGCGTGGTGACGGCCGTCGACCTGCTCAACTTCGTCACGGGTCGGGAAAAGAGAGAGCGCTCCATGTCGGAGTCCACCGACGAGCTGTGAGCGGCTGGAGAACAGACCGCACACACTTGTACATTTCTTAAAACCAACATGACGCGAAGACGAGTTTAGTGTCTCGAAGATAGAAGTGGTTTTTGAAGTTTTAGATTGGCGTCAACTCTTATTTTCCACTTTTGATTCTTTCATTTTGTATGTTTAAACTTGAGTCTTAAGGTGAATTGAATACACCTTCCATGCCAGTTTGTCAGCTTGTGATAGGTTTTATTTGCAGTAGGTGATTACTCATTACTTTCTTTTATATGCTTGTAGACCTCAAAGCAAATCTTTTGTACAATTCTAATTTGTAGACAGCTTTTTGTTTTGTGTCAGCCTTTGTCCTCGATGTTTTATTTGTCTGAAAAGTACATTATTGTATCGCTGTGGCCTTGTGTATCAATCAAATGTTAGAAACAAGACAGAATGTTATAAAAGCCACATTTACCTAATTGATGAGACAAATAGAGAGTTGCTGTATATAGGCATATTATATTTTTAGTGTTGCTCATTGTATGCTGCTTTTTTTGTTTGTGTACATATACACAAAGACCATGAAGTATAATCAAGTTTCCTAAAACAATCACTGGTATTTTTTTTCCTTCTTCTGTTTCAGCACACTACATTTGATGTAACTGTAAAGTGGTCGTGACTATTTAATCTTAACGGTGTGAATGAAAAAGGAAACCTTTTGTATTGTATTATTTCTCCTGAATGAATGTGTGTAACTAAATAAAATGTAAAGAAAGCCTGTGGCTAGTTGTCTTATTGTCAACATAATTCTGCAGTCTTAATCATGAGGTCTTGAGAATTTGTTTATTTTTGTTTGTTTGAGGGTTTTTGCCAACAAAATGTTGCTTTTTTACATTTTTTTAATTACAGCTGTCAAGAACCATCGGTGGGATATGAATATAAATCAAATGTTAGTTGCATTTTAAAACATAACACTGAAGTTTTTAAGAAGACACTGTTTAGCAGGTACCTTAAATACAGCGGTTCCCAACCTGTGGCTGGGACTGAATGGGGTCCTAAATTACATCTAGGTGGTTGAAACATGGCCCAAACACAAATACAATGCTTTTCAAACGTACAGATACGCACAGCAACATGTGAAAACAAAGTCAACTTATGTGTTAAAAAAAACAATTTAATAATTTGTCTATCTAATATTTAATAGCTTATTTAATGAAAGTGATTTGTTATAGAGAAATCTACACATTTACAGAGTGTGCTCAAACACAACCTCTATATTACTTTTTCGACAATATGATTTTTATGGCTTGTAAATAAGTCATAAATATTGAAGCATGAGTAAAAGTTCTAATATTAATGACATTTATTCCCATCTCTGTATTGCACCGCTTTTAATAACAACGATGAGTCATTTTTTCCAAGTTTCATAATGGGACGTGAATGCAAATATTAGCAGTCATTAACGCGCTGTGTTTGTGTCTGCCATGTGTTTTGTGGCGCTTGTAATGCTACTCAGGTGAAACCGTGTGAGCGGGGTCTCATTAAGGGCCTGCGACTTAACAATGCGGCTCAGGACTCCGCCCTGACTCGCCGCTCCTCGGCGTACCCAGGTACTATAAAGGAGCGCGCCCCTTTACGTTAGCAGCATCCAATGAGCGCTGTCAGTGCAAGTCGTTGACCGTGGCGATGTATGTGTTGTGTGGTAGCTGCTACGAGCAGGGCTAGACAGGCAGTATGGCGGAGGAGGGCAGTGTGTACGAGTTAGAGGGGCTAGAAAAACAACTGCAGACTTTGTTAAGCCGCTACTCAAGTGATGAACTGCGGGCCGACGGTGGACCGTTCTGCTCGGACTTTTGCAAGGTACGGAGCCGTTGCCGAAGTTGGTGACAGGCTTGTTGTCGAAGATAAGAGCATATATGTTAGCCGACTCCCCTCCCCCAGAACTGCTAGTTACACGGCTAGCATTAGCAGTTTAGCTCGTTAGCATCAAGCTAACAAGTGGCTTTAAAAACAAGCATGTTAGCTTTTTAAACAGTGTGTCTGATAACCCACGCTCAGGTACAGATGGTGCTGTCGAAACATTCGAGTCCGCAAACCAGTCGTATTTTGACATTAATTGTCCATTGTATAGCTAGCAAGCTAACTCGGCTAATCGCTTCAGACAGCTAGCCCACAATTTGCCTGCAAGTTAGCTTAGTTAGTACGTTGAGTGTTTACCAAACTAACAACTGGACGTGGTTTTGAACATTCATAAAACGTTTGGTTATCGTTACCCAGCAGGAAACCGAGCGGAAGATAGGCAAATATCAAGCAACCTGTATTATTAATCATTTGTCACAAAGCCCACTTTTGATATGTGGCTTAATGACCTGTCTTAACCCCAACAGGACATGTAACGTTGCAGTAGCATAACTTCTGCTACCACAGGATGTTCTTACACCCTGAAGCTCTCGTGTTGTCACAAAGCTAAAGGACTAAAGCGAAGCAGTAGCTGCATCTAATGGAAAAGTGCATTTAAATGACAATTAGTGGGGCTTGTTGGTAAATCTTGGACTCTCACAGCACACAGTTAGAAATAAATAGAGTTATTAGCCTTCTAGCTAACAATAATAGTCGTCTAGTCTGATCTCTCTAGATGACAAATCCAAGGTGTTGCTTATTATTTTGCAGCTGGGCCATTGTTAGGCCATTGAGGTTTTAAATTAAAACTTCACACACAGTTTGGGTGCTCATTAAATAGCACAGCATCAGCGTTTAGAACCAAATCAGCTGCCAGATGATGAGGTTTTGTTACACGCCCCAGTTTAATTTTCTAGCGGGCTGGCTGTTATAACTGGACAAAGGCCCTGAGATCAACATTGTTGACAGTTAACATTCACTGGATTCCACTGCTCTTGTCCTGGATATCCACCATTAGAGGGCAATATAAGCACATTGTTTTTTAGTGATTTCCGCAGGTCAACTGGAAGCATTGTGTAAGCGCCACATTTGGCTTGGAGACGAGCCCCTGACTTGTAAAGTTTACCATTGTGTACCGCAGTGAAAGTGTGTTGAAGGGGAACGCTGCAGCTTGAGTGTTGGAGTCAAAATGTTGGCCTATAACGAGAACATTTGGATTTGAGCAACCTAAAAACAGATGTTGCTCAGATTTCATGAATTAGCTGCTGCAGGTTTCATCTGTGCTTGAGGTGGAAGTCTGTTTTTTCTTAATATACAAAACAAATGTGTTAACGAGGCATCTGCTTGTCATTTCCTCGATTGATTAATTATAAAATACCAGATCTCACTGCATCTCTAACTAGTCACAGTGGCTTAAATGTCACTATTTAGAGTCTTGTTACTTTTATAGTCTAAACATTTAATATCATCACAGATTTAAACATGATCACACTTTGAAATGTCCCTGTTATTTTGTGTTTTGATTTGTTCTTTGTCCTGTCTTGTCTCCGTGCAGTTGGTGGAGGAATTTGCCTCTCGCTGGCAGGTGCCGCTGCCTCAGCTCAGGATCCTTGAGATAGCTCTCCGCTATTTCGCTCGAGCCTCAATCTTCTGCACATCAAACTGTGATCATGTGCTCCACACTCTCAGTAGCCTGGCTTTGTAAGTACACAGACCTCACTGACGAGGTCGCTTTTATTCTTTGCAGATGTAAATGATGGCCACAGATTTTTCTTGCTGCCTTGAAATGACAACGGTGACACTTTAATGCTGTGATTTTGAGCTTGTTTACCAATGAGGGTAGTTTTTAATTCTTCTTGTGTTCGCTCGGTGGTATTTTAGGTCGTATGAAACTTTAAAGTTGCCATTTTGTTCTCAAATCAGATCCAACGTTCAGGTCGGATTTATGTGTCCAGACATCATCGATCTATCCAGCATGAGTTGATGCAGCAACGACTCGCTGGTGATGCAACTTTTCAACGCTGTCTTGATGAATTATCTTTTTCTTCTCGGCTCCTTCCAGCTTTGTCTGTACCAAAGCCTCCTCCTAAAGTGTCATCAGATAATTTATTTTGCCGCCTGTCCTCGGACTGTTGTTCTGCAGTTGTCTTACCTGGCGCTCTGCTTGTAGCAGCATTGAGTTTGCTCAGCACTTCCACCGCTTCGGATTTGATGTTGTCGTTGTCTTGCATTGCAAATGTCGCACAAGATGCTTTGGCCTTGTTGAGGTTGCAGTGCTGTTTTTTCCAGCGTATCCATTTTATAAAGTTTGTACAGCCAAATAATACGTGACGTGATTTTTGCAAATTGGATCCAAGCCTCATTTGGAGGTGATTTAAAATGAAATTTAAATCTGATTCCTTTAGATGCATCTCAACCTGGACGCTCTGGCTGATTAGATCAAACTTCAAAGTGTGTTCTGCGTCACTTGCAACGCAACATACGACGACATGAGGTAGAGAGTGACAGAAGTGCCGAGCAGAACCCATGCTGCTGCTAGCATAGCGCTACGGAGAACACCAGATGCTGAAGTCAATGTTTGCTGGCTGACTTGACAGCATGACTGTGTGGAGAGTGAAATGATGGATCTTCATTTCCCAGGCTTCCGCATCGGGCTGAGCGATCAATCAATTTCAAATCGCAATACAACGCACTTAACAAATCACAAATGCTGCATTTTAGGATATACGAGGTGTGGCTACTAAATAATCAGACTGATGCTGTTCTTCAGCTTCATTTAATTAGAGAAGAAGTTGTTTGTACGTGTTGTGGTTTGATTCACATGAGCCCAGTCTGGTTATTTAAAGCTATATCTTGTATACTGACTGAGTGTATACTGTTTTTGCAAATTCATGCCATCTTCCTTGTGGCGTCTCATGTGGTAATCATATGCTCGACATCTATCACGCACCCATTATCGAACTGAAGCATGACATTTAAATACTCTCACGGCGTCTGTCAGGAAAGTCGCAGTCGTGTTGCAGATATTTTTCCCCACGTTATTTATCATCTGCATTGGGAAGCTGTGTCACCAGCGTAGCTCCGTGGTGTCTGATGCTCATGTCGTCAGAGTGGCAACCCATGCGGATACGCTGGTGGTGCCACAAATCCGATCTGATGACTTGGAAATCACAGTGCAGCCAATGTTTCCTAAAGATCTGATTTGAGAAACAAGTCTGGTTTGCCTGCAGTTGGAACAAAGCCTTTGAAATCTGATTTGAGTGACCAGTGATTTTTTTTTTCTTCTGCTGTTGAGGCTGTAAAATTCAGTCTTTCTTTTTTTTTTTTTTAAAGCAAAAAAACAGATTCGGGCTACCAGTCAGGTGAAAGCAACACAAAGGCAGTTTGTGCTCTCAGTGAGATAAAGTGTCACATGACTACACATGATCATGTGACTTGTATTCTGAACACCTCCAGTGACAACATTTTGCTGCTGATACGTCCTCCTGCTGAGGAAATTTTCCCTTTTAATGCGAGCCGAGCGAGAAACGGCTTATTTTAGATCAAAATGACCAAATGACTGCTTCAGAACCACTTACTGAGGCTGCAGCTCTGCGGCAGTAAACATCAGAGGCAGCACACTTCAGTGATTTCAGAGAGGGCCATCGAGCAGCCCAGTGTACTAACACTTGACAAATATAATAGAGAGCTGCGACGAGGATAAATCTGACTTATCGTTCAGACGGTCCACTATTACTTCACTGGTACAGCAGCTGTCAGCGTCTGCTTGTTGTGAAAAGGTGAAATGCTTTCATTCTTAATTAAAAACTCTCACTTTAAGAAACAAATGAGCCCGGATGTGTCTTTTACTGTTGACTTTTGGTTCCTCCTTTATTGAGTTTTGCTTCATTGTTCAAGTTTCACTTTAGTTTCATTGTGAATGAATGAATGAATGAATGAATGAATGGAAGCCTTTATTGCCCCTTAGGGAACTGGCCTTGCACAATCAACCCTTGAGAAAGCACACATAAAATATCACACATCTCAGGAAAAAACACACTTGGCAGCAAGACAGAGCGACACCTTTTTACGAAAACACACAAGTGCGCTTAACGAAATGAGAAATTAAATCGCATAAACTTTCCAGTGTCATCATCTACACAGAGAAGACACAGAAACCAATGAGAATATTCACATCAGCAATCAATCAAGCCTCTTTGTTTCTACATATCTGCTGACCGCATCCGAAGTAATCCAGTATATTCTGGGCCGTTGGTGGCGATTTTTTTTTTTTTTATGGGATTGAAAGTTGATTGTGTTCGCTGGCTCACGCAAGCACATTAGCGAGCCAGGAAAAACCCTGGCCCGCTGCCAGTTGTTGACTCTAGTTTGTCCGTAAACCCTCCGTCCCCCAGGGTTTCCCGCAGCTTCGCAATTAACTGCATTCCACGGCCTCTTTCACCGCAGCCGCCGTCTTTAGATCCGCGGCGAAATTTCTGCGAAATCAAAGTTACAAAGCAGATTTCGTACTCGTGAAAATGTTTGTTTCTGCTTCACAGGAGTGTTTTTGAGTTGCTGCTGTTCTTTGACCAGAAGGACTTCCATCAGGAGCCTCTGAAACACTTCACTGTTACATTCCAGGTGAGGATCCAGTCCAGAGCATCTTCCAAACAAAACAATTAAAGGAAGTGGGAAAAATCAATAATTTTGGGGCCTGTATTCCTGCTGTATCTGTCACTATACCCCAAACAGGTGACTACACTGTTTGTTGTCGTACTGTTCTTCCACCTCTCTGCAGCCTGATGATCCCAAATGAATGGCTGCAGTTTAGGAATATACGAGGTCCAGCTGCTAAATAATGATGCTGTAATTCAATTTTACTTAATGTGAGCAGATTGAAACTTTCAGAAGTTGTTTATGCTGCACATTGATTCATGTATACTGCGTGGTTCAGGCCCCACACAAGCCAAGTCTCATTGTTTAATTGCCAAATTCTTATGTTCTCTTGTGGTTTTGCAAATTGGTCCTCCTTGTGTGACAGTCACGCTGGTCTTGTTGGCTCGCTCCATCACATGTATTAATCCATCAGTGAACCGTTACCGAACTGAAAACTCGACCACAAATCAAATCACAGAATAATTATGATGAGATGTTTTCTCCAAATTGTTCAGCTTTAATCTCAACTAGTTTGGAAGTAAGTCGTTGTTCACTTGTAATGGAGAAGACAAAGTTTTGATGTGAATTCTAACTGCGTATTCAGGGTTTTTCAGTGAGGAATGAGGTGCAGAATCCATTTTAATTATTTCAAACAAGGGATTGAATGAAAACAAAGAATCAGACTCACATTATTATTATTATTATGAACTCCTCTGACCTCTAAAGTACTTTCTAAGACTTTTTCCATCACATTTTTACTCGCTGTGACTCATTTTTCACACCAAAATGCAAAAGTCTTGCATCTCTCTCTATATATAAATGATAAAAAAGAAAAACAGTTGATGACTTATTTCAAGAGTGGAAAATGTTTCGTATGTTGATTCCAGGTTGGAATCAGTGGCACTATCGATATTTTACTACTTATATCTTCAGTTTGTTTCAGTATTTGTCTCCTCTCTGCTCTGTGAAAACAAAGCCTGCAGTTCAACCCAGTTATGCTGAGAAAGTCCCTGAGTTTTTGTCATGTGACTGTTGGGAGCAGCTGAGTTACTAACGGTTGCACAGAGGAGTTCAGATTTTTAAAAATAATTCATTTTTTACAGAATCTGGTTTGAGCAAACGGTTTACTTTTGGCAATACAAAAAGAAAGATGTGAACACAGTGATTTTTTTAGCTCTGATTAATGGTGTGACTTTGTCAGTGTTGTAAAGATAACCTGCCTTTCCAACCTGCTGGTGGGATTTTTTGGATTCAGAATAGTTTGATATGTCTCTGAACAAATCTGGAGGGAATCTTCATTGTGTTTATTGACATACTAAATCTTTAAGACACTGTTTTTGTCCTCCTGCTCTTCCAGGAATGTCATTCGGCCCTCGCAAAGCATCAGAATGTTCACTTACTTCAGGTGGAGAGTTTGGTTCGGGGCGGCGGGCCTTGGGCCAATCCAGCCTTACAGGCAATCCTCAGTGAGTCCAGTTTACCTCAGAATGAAGGTCAGTGACATCATTCACTCTCGTGCTGACACTAATGCAAATACCGGTCCGACGACATAGACTGAATGAACTTTGAATATTTTTATTTCTGTTTCCTGAAACATGTCGGCTACAGTTAAGTTTCCATCAGCTTGTATTTAGAAGCACGTTTTAGTTGCTTGCATTGTTTAAATATCACTAAAGTGACACTGACGATGTGCTGTGGACTTTTCCATGTTTTCATGCAAAATGTATGCAAAATTCTTTTTTAATGTCTCATGTTTTATTCACGTGTGTCCCTGAATTGGACTCCTGCTCCTCCAGAGTCCAACAGAAACTGCTCATGCCGGAGTTTGTCTCAGTTTTTGTGCTGTCAGGGGTTGTTCCAACTAAAACGATCTCTCCTCTGGCCTCCTCCAGTGGACGGGTGCATCGGCTCTGAGCTGCCGGTGTTCTTCGAGCTTCGCGTGCGCTACCTTTTATCCTGCGAGCGCATCAGTGAGGCCGTGGCCTTGGCTCAGTGTTGTGCTCGGCATCCCGCAGCAGGACAACACTCGTTCTTCCTCCAGGTCTACCTCACATGGCTTCACAAAACTTCACAGCACGACCGCCTAGTTAAAGAGGTGGGTGGAGTCGTTCTTACGCTCACGTGTCTGTCAGTCTGCTTGGCTTTCAGTTGATTAGCTCGTATTGCCCTCTGTGTTTTTAGGTGGCTGACCTCAGTGGTAAAGATGCAGTGCACCTCATCTGTAGCTTGGAGTGTGAGGAAAAGGATGAGCTGCTTTTAGCCCTCAGCACAACCTTCCTGTCACAGCAGCTCCACAGGGGAGACATGTACTATTTGTGGTAAGTAACAAATGTGATAAGAAATGCATTGATGACACCAAGTGAGGATTATTTAAGGGCTCCTAATTTCTGCAAAATTCATTTTTGCTACATGTTTTGACACTGATCATTTTGAAAGGTGTGTTATCTTTAAAAAAAATCACCAGCAAAAAGGTGTCATAGCAATTCAACTCTTACTTTTTTCCCCCCGATTTATGGCATTAGACTCTTTTCATACTGCACAAAAGACATGTTTGAGTTTTCCATATTTCTAGCTCTGATAGAGGTGAAAAATGTGACAGCAACAAAAAACACCTTGGGATTCGGGGGTTAGTAATACAGCGAGGCCACATTTTGACATCTTTTACATAGAAAGTAAACATTAAGAGGGCTTTCTGACTCCTTTACTCTTTGCAGCGAGCTCGTCTTTGTGTGGACGAAACTTCACAGTCGGCTAAAGACGTCGAAGCAAACTCTGCTCAAAGAGAGTCATCAGCTGATGCTGTCTGCCGCTAACGTCAACTCAATCTTCCCGTTCATCAGAGCCATACTTCAAGAGGTGAGAAAAGTATTTTTAGAAGCTTAAATTTGTTAAGCTGCTGGGATTTCTGTGAATGCTGAATGTTTACCTCCTGTTTGTGTCTGACTAGGTGGGTGAGGATGCTATCCAGTTCTGTGTGGAGCTCTGTGCGAACGCCCTGGACTCTCGTCTTCCCTGCGATGCTCTCACCAAGTCCCTCATCTACAAAACCATCGCCGGCCTGCTCCCCAACGATCTGGAGGTTTGCCGGGCGTGCGCCCTCCTCGTCTTTTTCCTGGAGCGATCTGTCGAATCCTACAAAGTCGTGTACCTTCTCTACATGCATCCCGATCAGGAGTACCACGTGGACCACAGCCCCATCGGAAATAATGTTCGCTTTGAAACCCTTCAGGTAGAGCATCTTTTGAACATATATAATTAACAGAGGAAAGCAGCTGCAGACTCAGTTTTTATAATTTAGCACAGACGACTTGCCTGCGGAACAGACAGTGAATTATTGCTGAAACTTATAATCTCACTGAGCCGCCTTCTGTCTCTTCTGGTTTCAATATGATCTTTGTTTACTGTCATGAAGCTATAAGAAGCACAAGATGCACAGAAACTGAAACCAGGACATGAGGAAGATTTATTGTGGTTACTAGGGGTGTAAAAAGTACATTCATCTGTTTTGATGAATCAGTTTAATGACCAATCGTACAAGGGCACTGATTGAAAATACAAAAATCGATTCATATCGTGATCTGCATGTGTAGATGCCCCTTTATTTTGAAATTCCCATGGCACATCCTCTCTTTTGCTGTTTTGCAGTCAGCTAGCGAGCAGCTCTTTGCACACTGAGAACAAGGATTTGCCTACATTTGCTTTGTTTAGAAATTTCTGATATTGACGTGGATTCAAAACGCATGTGGGTCAGTTAGAGATTAACCTCAACATCTCCTCTTACAAGTACAGGCTGAGTGGTGACCTTGTTGGAAAGTTGGTTTGAACTTGCAGAAATTATTTTGTGTTAAAATATTGTGTCACTACTAAAAATAAGTGCTTTAAAATATCCTGCATGGATGCAAAAGTTTTCAATTTTATTTATTATTTATTGTTTACTTTATTACTGAAAAGGTTTACTTACTTTCTTCTTAAAAAGAATAGAGTTTTAAAATTTCATTTTTAGACTTCAGGAATACATTTAATGAAATAAAGGTTGAGTTACCTTTTGCGACTTAATAATATAAATGTAATTGAGGCCATGTATCATCACTGGCCCCTGAATAGAATCGAAATCATATCTTTGTGATGCCTGCACTTATACTGTATTCCAATGAAACCTGTGATTTACACCCCTAGTGGATGTATTTAACCAAGCAGCTAAAATGTCAGCCTACACAGCCACATATCATATGCCACCTTGTGTCGGTATTTCAGATTGTAGCTGCAAATCCGTATACTGTCTGACGTTAATATATGCTTCCTTTCTTTCCTCAGATCTTGAAGAAGGATCTCTACTTTGACCCAGAGTTCTGGAACCTCATTGCTTTGCGGACCAACTGTGTGAAGCTGATGAGCGAGAAGGTGGTCAGTGCTGCCCTGGAAGAAATCATGGAGGACAAATGGATCTCCAGCTACTTCGCCAAAGAGCCTGCACTCCGGTCAAGAGCGTCAGCCTGTCAGAAAAGAAGTAAAAGTGCACTTCAGGCTAAGAAGCGGCATGGCAAGGAGGACACTGACGCTGCAGCCAAAAGACTAAAGGTGGGCTCTGGGAAGAAGAAAGGTTCACGGCCGTTGAAGGATGCATCTTCGGGACCTTTGAGGCGCTCGTTTTGGCAGCTGGACAGGCTACAGGACAACGGAGAACACAGGCGGACTACACGGCTCTCGGAGAAGAATCCTCCAAAACGGAGGATTAGAAGACCCAAGTGGCTCCTGGAGGACTCAGGAACTCTTGAGGAGAACAACGGTCCTCTGAGGATCAAAAAGCATGGGTTGAAACACGAAAAGCACCATCAGTCGTCTGTCATGAGGAGATCTGAAGCTGGTCAGATCAAGAACAAACCTTCAGTGAACTCTCATTTGAAGGCAAAAGAAAACAACAACAAGCACCACAAAGAGTTTGCCTCGGACTGTAGTAGACCATCGGCCTCTCCACAAGTAGTCCTAGAGCTCTCCCTGCCAGACAATGAACTGTTGGGTACGTTTACTGAGGACGCTTGCAACAGACACAGAGGGTTTCCTCAGGTGCTTCTTTACAAACCTACGGTAAAGATTCCTGCCACGTCACAACACGTAAAACCTGTACATCGCAAAGAGGTGGTTCTGCGAGCGCGGGATGCAGCCATGTTTGTGCAACAGTTGCATTGTTACGCACGGAGGCAAAAAGGAAAAGGCAACGGGCTGAACGTTCAAGGCTCGGTTTCAACAATCACACGGTCGTCCGTGCAGGGAAGCCCTCCGAAAGATCCGCCGAGAGAGGAGGTGAAAGGTGGAATTGTCCTTCGGGCAACAGCAGCCAGAGATGCAGAATCCCCAGTTTTAGATAAAGTCATTGAAGCTCAAAGTACAAAAGTAGTCACACGAAAGACATCGTCAGCAAGAGAGCTCCCTGAAAAGTCTGCCGTCGAGATGAAAGTGACTGTTGCTTCTCAGAGGTCACCATCAACAAAACTGACAAAGTCCCCAGTTTTAAATAAACCCCCTCAAAGCACAAAAGTTAACGCAGGGTCCGAAGAAGTCCCAAACGGAGACCAAATTCTTCAATCTCAAACTGTTGCTTCAGCAGGAGAGCAATGTGAAGAGCCTGCCGTTGAGATGAAAGTCACCATTGCCTCACAATCCCCAGTTTTAGACAAGGTCTCGAAAGCTTCATCCGTAGAAGACGTTGCAAAAGCTGATGCTTCACAAACCTCAACCGCAGACAAGAGTCAGAAGAAAGTTACAGACAAAATCCCTCCAATCTCCAATAAAGCCAATGTTTCAACGTCTGGAGCTCCAGATCCTGCAGTCTCAGGGTCTCCAGAGGTTGTGCTTAGAGGAGTGGAGCAGGTTATCTCTGAAATGGACGTCACAACCTCAGAGGGACACGTGCCTTGTAAAAACGACACAAGCCCGAGAAGAAATCTGAGTAAGAGGTTGGAAACGGAGGCTCCCTATACGTCTGTAGATCAGGACAGTATGAAGGACATATCAGCTCTGACATTAGTAACAGAAATGGTCACTGGACTCGCACCTGAACAACTTGCTCGAGACCTGGAGAACGACAAACAGCGAGCTCCGGGCAGCAGTGCCTCCAAAGACTCAAGAGTTCGAAGTAAACCTAAAGCTCCTCATAGAACACGGACTACCTCCGGCTGCTCTGTACAAGAACGGGAGGCGGCTGATGTGCAAGGGACAGAGAGAAATCTGGAGATTGATCCAGATGCAGCTGAGAACAGCGAGCTCATGGAAACGCAACCAGAATCGGAGGAATCCAGGTTGGAGTACTGTTGCACCTTCTGCAACAAGGTCTTCAAGGGGAGCCGTGTCGTAGCACATGCAATGTTCCATTACCGTAAAGACGAGTGCATGTTCTGTGGGACAATGTTCAAAGACGACCTCCTTGCCATGATGCACCTGTCTGATCATATAGAGAAGCTAAAGCGGAGCAAAGAGTTCGCAGGTAACCAAGCCCAAGAGAACGGGATCTCTGACGCCAAAGATATCTCCACACCTAAAACCTCTGCCAAAGCTAAGACCACAAACATGTCTTCTGGGTGTCGGAGTCGGGGGAGACCGAGGAAATCCGATGTCTGTCCGAATTCAGTCACCCTGCCGGATCCGAGTCTGTCTGAATCCAGGAAATTAAGATCTAATGACAAACCAGCAGAGGGACCATCTTTGCAAGAAACACAAAACGGGTCAAAGCACCTTCATAGTAAAACTGCTGTTCACAAGGTAAATGGGCACATAGGCAAAAAGAGAGAATTGGACAGATCGAGGAAGACCTTGCAGCAGGAGGTTTCTCAAGGAAAAATGACTGATGGAGCTGTGAATCCCAGGTTGCAAGAAGACACAGATTCATCTGCAACATCTGTTCAGGTCGGCAAAATGTTTGCCTCTTCCACAGAAGAACAAATGAAGGAGACTGAATCTCTGCAGGTCCTGAAGGCCGCCACAAAACAAAACGGGAAAGTTGCTGAAGAGAAGAACGTGGAACCACAAGAGAAGGTTAGCTGTCCTGCAGATGGATGTTCTTGGTTTACGGACCTGTCTAAGAACCGCGTCGCCCTCCTGTACCACGCCCTCGAAGATCACTACGGCGATGTCAAACCTCTGAAGCTGGCGTTTCGTGTTGGAAACAGGACATGCAGTGTTTGCATGAGGGTTCTGTGGAGTTTTGAACATTTTCAGCATCACGTTGAACGACACAGACTCGCTCCGCGGCATCCTTGCCCTCATCAGGGCTGCACTGCCAGGTTCAAAAGCGGCATGGAAATGAGACGCCACGCCAGGAAGCACAGTCCACTGCAGGCGGTGTGCTGTCTCCCTGGATGCTCTCAACTATTTATTTGTCTTTGGGCACTGAACCTTCATGAAAGAGAGCACTATGCTTCCAAATCTACTAAACCAGACACAAACAGCAATGTGAAAACGAGCGACAAACATACTGCCACACCAACTGGGAAGAAACAGCATCAGAGTTCAAAAGGTACTCCCACTGCTGCAAATAAGACTGAGAGCATAAAAGCAACTTGGAGGTTAAGAGAACAGACGACACACGACTCGCAAGGAGGAAAACGTCCAAAGGCTTCTCCTCCCTCCACTGGCACAGCATCTTTGATAAAACAGGAATTAAAAGAGAAAAATAAGAGCAAGGACTCAAATGTGTTGAAGAATCTTTCCAACAAGGACACCTCTGCAAAGCCTGTCGGTCCTAATCTCAGATTAAGGCAAACTTCAAGAAAAGACCAGGTAACAAATACAACTCTACCACCTCCCAAAATTCACAAAGTCATCTCATCATCACTGTTAAAACACAGCGGCAAACTGAGGCAGAAGTTAAAGAAGAATCAGGTCAACACGAAAGGTCTGAAAAGAAGAGGGCGCCCTCCCAAATCAAAGAAAGCAGTGGATGACGAAAACACTACGGAGACTGTTGAGGAAAAAGCTTCTCTGCAGAAGAATCAGAACCAGCCTTCTGCCACTGAAACAGATGAAGCTGCAACAGCAAGTAAGAGGTTAAAAGTGGAAGAAGAACAGAGCCGGCCGGTCCAGGAAGTCGCCAAAACTACAACAGATAAATCAAAGTCCAAGAACGCAGCCAGCAAGCAGATGAAGAGGAATCATGTTAAACAAAAAGGGATTAACACTCCATCGAACAGTTTAAAACAATCCAACTCAGAGCTCAAATCACGCAAGTTAAATGCTGTTAAAATAAGGAAATGGCAAAAAATCGAAACCCGTTCCGCACCTTCAGACTCCAGCAAATCCCAGAAGCACACGACGGCGAACGGGAAAGTCAGCAAAAAGACCACCAAGAAAAGTCATCCGAAGCAAGAAGCAGACGTCCCACCAGCCTCGAATCAACCTGCCGCTGCTCAACAAGTTGAGGCCAAAGCAGAAGCGGTGGAAAGTTCTCCTGACGGCGAAGAAAAAGTCAAGGTAGAACACACAGACTCAACACTAAACAACTCTGGTAGCTCTGAGCTTTCTGTCCAGGCCAACGGCTCGAATGTTCCAGCTGCCGACGCCACCGCCGCAGACAAACTGCACAAAGTGAAAAAAGAGGAAAGGCCCAAGAAATTGCACATCACAGAAAAAGGGAAGACTGCTTCTTCAAACTCAGGCAAGGCAATTAAGAAGCATAAAGACGCTCATAAAAAGGGGGACAAACAGTCTGTCAAGGAAAAGCGGCCGTGCAAAGATGAAGGCAAAGCGTCTGGGTCAAAAAAGAGGGAAAAGTGTGACGTCCAGCGACAGAGCGAGGCCAAAGCAGCAGCAGCATCAGTAGAGAACATTCCTAATGAGGATGGAAAAGAAGAAAAGGAAGCTTCAGGCAGCCCTGGTCCCTCCATTCCTGCTGTCACTGATACCGTCAGTGATGAGACTTGTCCACTCGCTAACCCTGAAGGGAAGAAGGTAGTGAAGAAGGAAAAAACCAAGAATGCCACGAAGAAGACAGACCAGAGCAAAGTGACGAAGAAACGTAAGGATGTTCATAAAGACGATGGCGCGAAGGTTGTCAAGAAACGATGCAGAGATGGGAGTGTTCCATCAGCATCTAAGAAACCTGAAGTCCAGCCGCTCGCTGAGGCTAAAGCAGGGGTAGGAGAGAGCTCTGAGGGGGTAAAGACTCCACCAACTGCAGTTAGCGGCCCCGGTTACTCTCTAATCGTGAACGGACAGGCCTCAAGTGAGGACGGGAAGCGCACGGTGCGTGAAGCTCTTGCACAGTACAGTAAGAAGCCATACATGCGACTGCCGCCGACAGCGTACCTGGACGAGAAGTACATCACCATGCCAAAACGGCGGAAGGAGATGCTGTTTTTCCAGCAGAGGAGCGCCGCCCCCGAACAGGCCTGCACGACGGCGGCGGCTCTGCAGCGACAGCGATGTGCCAACTGTTTCGCTTCCTTCAGCAGCGCCGAGGAGCTGCAGGGTCACCTCCAGCTGCAGAAGTGCTCGAACCTCTTCGGATTCGACTCTGACGACGAGGGTGAGTGAAGATTTAACACACTTATCCTGGTAGTTGGTCCAGTTTTGTTAGGATTGATCTCTCTTGTAAGTGAAGCATAAAACAGCTCCATTAAAGCACATCTCAAATTGCTGGTTTGTGCAGCTTTAATTGAGCGTCTTTAAAACACATCGGGGCTGATAAATTGTAAAACAGAACCTATAAGCAGAGGAACTTCCTGGCTGAGCAACATTAAAGAGCCCATTTTATGCTCATTTTTAGGCTCGTGCATTTATTTTTTCTTTGCTACAGCAAGTTTTCATGCTTAATTGTTTAACCCTTAGTGGCCAGTTTTATTATTTTTTCACTTTAACCAACTATATGAACATTTTGGGCTCAAAAACACAAAAAATACAAAATCCGATTTGAATAAATGTATTATTTATTACAATAAAAACCACAAACATGCTTCACGAAGCATTTTGAATGTTGAAAATGTAACAATAGGTTGCAGATATGAATTTGAAAAAGTAAATTTAATATAAAATCAACTATATACAACTATATATGCAGCAATATACAAAGCAGGTGGGGCTTTCTTTCTGTTTTTATGTGTGCCACTCCTGAAAATAGTTTCTGTCCAGAATGAGGCCGACAGCAGCCACATTACAGGAGCTGCACTTCCAGGGACTTTCTTTCACTTTTGTTTTATCCGTCACAGAAAATCCATCACAAAAAAGCACATTTGTAACATCATATCTCCGGTTTTACGTGGTCTATCGACATACACTAGTTTTTCTGTCGTTATGTATCGAACATGTCATGATTATATCGTGACGGCGTGACGCTCCAAGGGTTAAAAACCACTTTATTTTCCTCCTACTGTACGTCAACTGCAGCAGATCTTTACAAACTTGGTCCAAAATGCTTCGTTTTAGCTCCTGTCTCAACGTTTGTCGTGTTTCACTCGAGACATTTAAGTTAGCAGGAGCTTTGTAACACAATACAATCCAAAGAAAGGCATAACCATATTGCCTCTTTCACACTACATCCTCCCCAGAATGCAGCAGATCTAATGTAAAACCTTTCAATCGTATCTGCGGCTGCATCTAATTGTTGTAAATTTAGGTTGTTTTATAATGTAAGCTCACAGGAATGGTGTCATTATTCTCTTTTTTCTTTCTGTTTTAGGCAACAGTTGAACATGTTAACTTAAGTCAAAGTGAACTGAGGTTTTGAATACATGACAGACTGACCCGTGGACCCGCATGGAGCCCGTGGATGCATCGTACCTCGACGGATCACTGCCCCTCTCGATCACACGTCCGTCACTCTGGGCAAAAAAATAAAAATAAAAAAAGACCGAAAACTTAAAGGGTACCAGACTTTTTGCTGCTGCAAAGCGACGGCCCGTGGAGCGGCCAGAACACAAGAACATGATAGCCAATCAGCAGTCAGACTACTGAACTGAACCCCGGTCAGATTGTTGGAACGGACAGCTCGTACTGAAGTGCCTGCTCTGGAACCTCCGTGCTGTTTTCCAGCTGCTTCGCCTGGTTTGGAGATGGAGCGTCGTGGCTTAAAGACTGGACTCTCGAAAGCTGTGAAAAAAAAACAAACTAACGCAAGATTACAAGGCTGCTCCTGCTCTCACTAGGATACATAATTTTTCACGTCAGTAAGCCATAAAAATGACATTGTTTGCTTTTTGCACTGTTCTCATAAGATTTTTCTGTTCATTTTTTTTCTCTCCTTAAACTCAAGCGGTGGGGATGTATGATGGAAGTTCATGCTATTTTAACATCCTGAGGTTAAAGACATAATTTAGACTGAGTCTAAAGTTGTAAGTTCGCTGTATCACAGTCTTCTCTGAGAAGTTTTTAATGTATAATTCTTGTTTAAATACTAATGGTATTTCTTTTAAAAGGTTCCCTATGGGGCTCAGTAGGCCTGTGCTGCTTGTCCTCACCTTGAGTCACCAGTAGGGGTCAGTGTGCACCCATCTTTAATTTCCTGCTTCCAGAACGTAATATTTTCTCTTTTCTTTTTTTTTTTTTGGAAGCTTTTCTGAATACAAAGCTGCTCCGCTGCATTTACTCAAGAAATGGCGTCACTTCCACACACATCTGGCCAGCTGTAGTTCATTTAGCAATAACAGCTGCAACCCGCATCATGTGCCAGCGTCGAGTTAATTTATCGCTGGGATCCATCTTTGAATCATTTTCTGTTTATTTGTCGCCGTCGGAGGAGCAGCAGACATTCTGGCTTATTTTATATATTCTCACTTACACGTATTTTTATTTTTTTTTTGAATCTTTACTTAACTGTTCCAAATGATGGAAATATTGTGATTTATCTTCTAGAAAGTTTCAGGATTCCTTCAGAGAAAGTGTTACTGGGAGGCCGCACCAGTCTATCATGAGCAGCAGCAGGTTCTATTTATTTATGTTTTATTTTCTATCTTTTGTAAATATTTGAAGAGTTTCAATGGCTTATTCTATAAGGGGGATGTCGGAGCTGGGTTTATATTTTGTTCTTGAAGAAAAAAATAAAACTTATTTCAAATGGCGTGGGATTGTGCTGGCCCTGTGGTGGTGTCCGCTGCACCGGGATGGGGGGAAGTGTGTCACGTTTCATCTGAGGAAGGAGCAGCTTGATCCACAAAGTAGGAAATAAAACGCTTCAGTGCGCTGGCTGGAGATGAGACGCAGGAGTGTCGGACAGCTGCAGAGGAAGAGAACGTATTAAATTAGTTCCCCGAGTCGAGGCTCAACACCTTGGCCAAACCTTTCTCGCACGTGTCGTTTTGCAATTATTAAGCTTTGAAATCCAACATGTGAAACTGCTTAAAGTCAAATCAGGGATCCATGTGAACTAATGATGCTCTCAGGCAGCACCGTAATGACCTTTATTACCCCTGGACGTTCCCAAGAAGACCTGGATCTCCACCAACTGTTACCTCAGAGCTGTTTAATTAAACTTCACCGACACCTCAGGGTTCTTTTCCAGAGAATGAGACGCAGCTTCCCGGTGAAACGAGTCACAGTTCTGACAGACGAGGCGCTTCGACACGCAGACGGTCACGAAGGCCAGACGGAAAGGTGATCCCTTTGTTTTCCATCTGAGTTGATATTGTTTGTTGTGGTAGACGCACAGGAGAGAGGAGAGAGAGAGCGACGGCCGGAGGAGGAAGAGGAGAAACCGGAGACCACATGAGGAGTCGAGTTCCCGCCCACAGGTGTGTTTGTGAGGTGAAGCTTCTTTTTACTGTAACGTGAAACACGAGCAGCGCGGTGTTTGTTTCTCATCCTGTAGCTGTCAGACAGTTTACTCATTGTAGTTATCACTGTGTGTTATATTTGTGTAAACTTCATGGGATGACAGCGACAACAAACACATCTGACTGGTTTGTTTATCGGCTGGTTCAAAAGAGTACGTTTGACTGTTTTTATGTGGAAAACAAACAAACAGGAAATAAGACATTAATCTGCTTACAAATGAATAGGACGTGTTTTACTTCAGTAAAAGTCGGGGTGTTACAGTTTAAGTCCAACAGTCCAAACCTTATTTGAGTAGAAGTAAGTCCCTGTTTGTGTAGAAGTGCTCTTTACGCTCCAAAATAGGCTCTTAGGGTTGAGTTTTCAATATGTTATACTTTTGGGTTGTTATTAATGTTAATTTTCATACTGTAGTTACGTGAGTTCTTACTCATTTTACATCTATACTGTCAGGTGGCTTCATTTCAAGTGTAACAGCTTATCATATCTGCTGAACTGCATTATGTCGTGATGGGGTTTTAAAGTTCTAATCTGCTGTAAAGTAACTTCAGCTGTCTGATAAACACAGTGGACAGAATACGTGCAGTATTTCCCTCTAAATGTGGTGGAGTCGATGTAGAAAAATGGGCAGAATTCAAATCGTAAATTACAAGTACAGCCGTGACTCGATAATCCGACCCTTAACAATCTGACAGCCTCGCTATCCGACATAAAAGAAGGTTTTGCATTTAGTGTCGGATCATTGAGTCACGACTGAACCTTAAAATTGTACTTAAGTAAAGCACTGGAAGAGATTTACAGATTCACACCATGCAAGTGAGAAGTTGGATTCATGTCGAGTAAAATGCTAAACTTCTCATCCAAGAGGCTTCCCTGAATTCTGACTGACTGTTGGGACTGACTGGAGGTGTTGATGTTGGTCTGGGGAGGCATCTAAAGACGGCACTACAAGTACCTGATAAGTGGCTGTTCCAGTTTGACACTGATGGTTAGCATAGCTCCTCTGTTAAACCACCTGTCTTCTCCTTCCAGAGCTTGAACATTGCTGTCCTCCAAACACAGCAGACGACCTACATTTAAAGGATAATGGACACTTTTTCGATCAGGTACTTATCACGATTCCCTCCCCAGGAAGTTTCACGACCATTCGCACCTCGAGGAGTGTAGAGTCAGGCTTTTGGAGGTTGATTTGTGGCGAATTGGACTTTTTAGGAATTAAAAAAGAACAAACAATCCTGGTTATGGCCTTAATAGAGGCAACAAGTGTGTGTTTAATGCAGCAAAATTCTCAAAAGCATCCAGTAGATACCTTCTGTCCCGTTCTACCCACGAGAAATAACCAACAAAGTGACGCGTCATCTGACAAGCCTTTTAATCAATACTTCAAAACTACTCGAAATATTTAAGCATGATACGAGAGTTTTTCTCTACATCCATAAAGCACAAACACTACAATCATCTGCACTGCCGTAAACTTTCATTTTAACATTTAAGGTGTCGCTCAGGCGTCTGAATGACCCGTCAAAATGAAAATTTAGCAGTTCGGGCGAAATAGACAAATCCAAAAACATAAATCTAACTTTCCATAGTAATTAAAACTGCTTGAGTACAAAGACACGTGAACAGTCATGGTAGTGACTTAAATATGATATTTTACAACTACGCATGATTCCATCTTCAAAATCTTCACTGTTTTAAATATGAAACAAATTAAATTATGTACAAATAACATTAGAGCGTGTAAAGTTAAATTAGTGGAAGACCCAGAGCGGTGCCCAGATGTTGACGTCAGCCGTGGCTGCGCTGGGCCGTGAGATCTTCAAAGAGCAGTGCTGCAGCAGGGGCAAGTAGAAACTGGAAGGTGTAATAACTATTGGGAGTGTTTAAATTAGCGTTTAATTGAGCGGAGTTGGGCAATAAACCGCCACTTCCTGGAAAAAAACGGGAAAGCTGAAGGAGACTTTTTGTTGGAAAAATACAGTTTTATCATCGGCGTAAATACGAACAATTGAGTCTTTATTGCCCTGGTGAAGATGCAACAAATGCAATCTGGTGTTGGAAAACGATTCACCTCAACCTAAAAGAGGGACTAAAAGGCCCCGACAGGACACATCACATCATCACATCACGTGGCTCCTGCAGAATAATTCCTTCAACCTCTCAGATATCTTAGCAAGGCTGCCAAAGTCGCCTGAAGCTTGTTTATTTTGTGTTTTGTTCTTTTTGACTCTGGCCTGTTATTATCTTATTCCACTTTCCATTTCTCACAAGCGCGAGCCTCTGCAGCAGGTCGGTGGTTGGGGTTCTTGCTCCAACATGTTGCAGACGGGGGGGGGTGAACGCTGGCTCGGAGGCTGGCTGGTCCTGTTCAGGTAGCGTCCAGGTGTGGGGTAATAACAGAGGCAAGAAGGCCACCGCTGTCACACTAGAGTCCCAGACAGTCTACTCGGGGTGGTCTTTTTTTTTGCTTTCATGTGAAGCTCTGCGGTCCTCCTTTGCCTTTTTTGGAGAAGTGGAAACTCCTCCAAGAGTAAGTCGGTACATGTAAATATGTACTCCCAATCCTGCCCCATTGTCAAGAGGCACTCTCACCGTTGAGGGGCAACAAATGGCAGCATCTGCTCCTCTGCCAGCCTTCGGTTTACTTCCACTCGGGCCTCATGAAGTCAGGGATGCACTGACACACTTTCTGGCTGTAGTAAAACCCGGCCTGGCACGCCCGCCTGGGCTTCCTGCAAGGCAACCTGTAGCAACTGGAGACAGGAAGGACGGAGATGAAAAGAGGGAACACAGAGAAGATGTTTGAGAAGGGTTGAAAGGAGGAAGGAACGAGCCACGGAGGAGAAATAAAAAAGGAGACACAGGGGAGATTATCTCTTGGCGTGCACACTATTGATTATTCAGATCTGCACATCCCTTTTGGATAAACCCTGATCCAAGTTCTGTTTGTGTGCGCATCAAAAGATTCTGTGTGAGAAAAAGAAGAAGTGTTTTTCCGGACGATTCTGGGAACTCCCCTCTTAAAAAATCACAGTAGGTGCACAGTCTCCTGTGTTGCCACCTCCTCCTGTGACCAGATGTCGGATCAAACTTTAAAAAAACTGACAAAACAATGAAAAAGAATAATAAGTGCCCCGCGTGTGGGAAAAAACACGGATTTGGTTGCAGCAGCTATTCATAAATCCATACTAAGTGTGTGCTTTGAACCACAAACCTCCCTGGTGGGTTTAAAAGGGATGTTGTCTTTACAAAATCGGCAAAATAAAACATTTGGTGTCGCCAGATTCAGTAAAAAACAAACAAACAAAACCACTTTGTCACAACAGGGAAGCTATTAGTGACTGAACCGCGACCAACAGTTATGTAAAGA